TTTGTTGGGAATTTTGATTTTTATTTATTTTATTTTGTTAACAAATTTTGCACAAATATATGGGTGTGTGTGTGTTTGTGTCTGGCGCGAATGCTTGTTGAATTAATTAATAAAAATTTTCGCTATTTGTTTTTAGTTTTTTTCTTTTGACTTGGAAATATTCAATAAAACTTTTGATGACCATTGGAATTTTTTGCACAATGTGTGAGAAAATTGTTTTTAAAACATTTTTCTTTTGTATCAATCTTTTTTTGTATCTGCCTCGAATTCTTGTTGAGCATGTAATATTTCACAAAATTTAATTAAACTGTCCATTTTAATTTGTTCATATATCAAAGCGAGAAACATGATTTGTGGCCAATAATCAATTTTAGCCGATTTAGCGGTGTATGCGGCGTATGAGTAACATTTGGTTCAAAGAATTTGTAATAGTACTTATACGCCATCGTATCATCATTAACAACGACGATATTACAAAATGCATGAAGATTGGCAAATTGTTTGCAGAATATTTTAATGCCATCTATGGCCATAGCGTAAAAAGAAGTGATTCACACAGTTGTAAGGAAAATCCATTCTGCATCGGTTGTTATAGATTCAGCAAAATTTGATTTGTTGAAAGAAATTTGATTGAAACTCTGAAGAAAAATAAGTGAGAGAAAATTGTTCTGAGAAGAAAGTCAAAAGAAGACGATGAAATAGTGGATGAAGAGTTGATTTTTTAGAAATTTTGGATCTCGAAATCGGAAATATTTTAAAGGAACATTAGAGGTATAAAAAAATATTTTTAAAAAATCATCTGAAAAATCATCATATATATACTCCGTCGGCGAAAAGTCAAACTTTAAATTTTACATTCGTTCTAACAACTCGCATTAGGCCTCAAAATGCACAATTTATTCAGTTTGTTCAATTTTTTTAATCAAAACTATACAACGTACTAAGATTTTATATTTTCGGAAAAAATAATAGGAGAATGTTTACCTGTTACACCAAAAAGCCTTCAACATCTTTCATTTTGGAGTTTACCGATGTGGATATTAAAACACATTCCACAAAGGACCCACATCTAACTTTTCTGTGCAAAAATATTTCAACGTCTCCATGTGTAAACCATAGACATTGACAGTGACCTCAATTTGAAAATTGAGTATTTTAGCTCTATACCTTCACCTAATACAACCAATCCAAATCTAGTACCATTTTATACTTTTCGAAAAATTATAGCACACATTTCCAAACTACCTCCAGAGACTTCAATATCAAGTTTCGGGATTCCAACTTTATATATTCACTCAATACGAAATTTAGTAACATTTTGTACTTTTTGAACAATTATCTTACACACTTCCAAAACCACCTCCGTTTCTCAATTCCAGATACCAGTGGAGACCTCAATATCAAATTTGAGGATTCCTGGCCCATCTCTACACCCAATTCCAAATTTAGTACTACTTAGTACTTTTCGAACATGACATTTCAAAATGTCAGTTCTATTCCTTCAGCCAACACCAAATTTAGTACTATTTAGCACTTTCCGCACAATTATAGCACACATTTCCAGACACCAAATCCTAAGATTCTAGCCCTATCCCTTCACCGCATGACATTTTACCCAACCACATTTAGTACCACTTAGTACTTTTCGTACAAATTTAGAACGCATTTCCTTAACCATCGCCAGATATCAATTACAATATCAAATTTCGGGATTTCAGATCTATACCTTCATTCAATACCCAATTAAGTACCACTTAGTACTTTTCGTACATTTATAGTACGTATATCCAAAACCACCTCTTAATTCCAGACACTAACATAGACTTCAATATCAAATCGTGGATTCCAGCCCTATCCCTTTACCCAATACTAAATTTAGTTCGATTTGGTACTTTTCAAACAACTATAATACGCCAATATCCAAAACCACCTCCAAATCTCAACCTCAGATACTAAAATTTATCCAAATATAAAATTTCAGAATTGAATCTCCATTCCTTCAAGCAGGACCAAATATAGTACAATTCAGTACTTTTCGTACAATTGTAGTTCACATTTCCAAAACCATCTATTTATCACAAACCAAACACCAACATTAATTCCAATACAACATTTCAAAATTCCAGGTTGACCCTCAACCTAACTATTCCAAAATTTAGTACCATTTAGTACAGTTCGAACACTTAGTACAAATTGCCAAAAACACGCCCTCATTTATTTCCAACCTTGATTCTGATACCAAGTGTCAAGTTTTTAGCTCTCAATCGTTCACATAATAAAAAATGGTACAATTTTACAAGTTTGGTACCATTTTAGAATTTTTCGAAACCTTGAATTTTTCATAGAATCTTTGGTAGATCTATCCTGTACTCCTTCAGTGACTCAAAATTCTTAGGTTGGAAATACATAAAGCGCATATTTGGCTGCCTGAAGTCATCGGCTGGCTTCTTCGTAGATGAACAAAGGAGTTTTAGGTTGACCTAGTTCGATTTTGGCCCTAGGCTCCTTTGTTCATTTCCGAAGAAGCCAGCCGATGACTTAAGCCAGCCAAATAAGCGCTTTATGTATTCCCAGCTTTATTCCGTTTGTCCAATACAAGGTATTACATTTTTAGGTCCAGATAATTGCGACTCACAATAAAGTTATCTATAGAAAATATACATTACATTTTATGTGGTTGGCCAATCATCAGAGTCAATTTCAAGACGATTTTTGGGGATGATAGATATTATAATGAGTGAATTTTAGATATTATTTTTATGAATTGAGGAGTATTTTAGGAGATCGGCAAATGATGACACCATTATGTTTAAAAAACGAAACTTCTTTTATTAATATTTCTGTTTTAATTTTTCATTTTAAAAGTAAGTTCATATACAAGATCGTTATCTGTGTTAACTCCGTTAATTGACCAATCTCAATAAAATTTACTACAAAAAATGTTCAATTCATTGTTGTTTGTCAATTACCACGATTAAACTGGGTAAAGATTTGGTATATAAACGAGCTGCATGATCCAGTTGATACTGCTCAAATTAGTTAAGAAATTCCCACTTACTGTTTAATACATTGCACGCTATACGCAGAGTATAAATATCATTAAATGTGTCTTTAATTTATTTCAGTAGTTACATGAAATATTCAAAAAAAAAACAAAGATACATTTAAAAAACAATTAAATGTTCAATGAACTGATATAAATAAGATTTCAGAACAGATTTCATGTTCCATTTTTTTCAGTTGTGCTTGAATAATTGTGTGGTTGGTCAAGTTTCTTTCTCAATACTATTGGTATTGAATATACATACATATAGTGTATATCAACATACATATATTTATATGTATGTATACATTTTGGCATATTTTAATGCCAACAAATCACACCATATATTCATTTGTATATGTATTTGCGCGGACGACGGGTATAAATTAAAAATTAATACATATGGGCAATTTCACGCCATCGGTACTTGAGTAACAAAATTTATTTTATATGTATATATTTTTAGTAATGAGAATTATAAATAAAGATTAGTTAAAATAACTAATTAGAAACCGACTAAAAGTACGTTTACATACAAATATTTATAATCGTGATAAATGACCAATCGCAATAAATTTGACTATGGAAATATACGCTAATCTTATTATAATGCAAAATACTTAAGGTTAATGACTTCACAACACATGTATGTAAACGCGATGTAAGTCACAATAAATACTTGCCATTTCAAATCTTTGAAATAAGACTAAAAGAACGTTTACATTCAAAATTACCAAAAAATTTCACCATTTAAAAATACACTTCGAATTTATTGTAGTTGACTTCAAGAAACAGAATGTAAACGTTATAAATTGTTGAAAAGCGTATATTGTAGTTTCCTTTAAAAATCTTCTTAAATTTGAAAAAAAAGACATTTTAAATTTTTTGACCTATCAATGTTCCCAAGCGTTGATGCATCTAACTGTATTCTTCTACCATGGATTATTCTAAACACAATAATTATTTTCACATTTATAGTGCGTGCCATGGTAGAAGAATACAGGTAGTCGCTTCGACACAGCTGCTGGGACAGGACTGTCAAACCATTTTTAAAATTGAAAATGTTGAATGAAAAATTATTCAAATTTGTTACAATTGTTAAAAATGTATATCATAACAACCTCCAATTGGCGTCGTACAGGAAAACAAATAGAAATATAATTATTAAAAAAAAATATTTTTAAATTTTTGACATAACATCTACCTGTATTCTTCTACCATGGCGCGTGCTCAAACCAATCTTTAGAACAATCAATAGGTGCTGCCTTATTGTGATTACAACACAATAACAATCAGATAACAAAAAATAAACGAATGTTGAAATTTCGTCTGATTTTGAAAATATAAATCCGTGAATAGCCACATTGAATTATTCGTATTTTTATAAATTAAATTATTCGTATATTTTTATGGAGTGTATATTAAGTTCGTCATTTCGTTTGTAAATCTTCGAAATAATAATTTTAGACATAACAAAGTATATATATTCATAATCAGCGTACATAAACATTTTTATTGTGTAAAAATTTATAGCACATAAACACATATTTGAAATTTATAAAGAATTTTTATGATGGCTTTTCATCATATTTTCGTTTTCTTCATTTAATTTTGTGACGGTATTTGGCAAATTGGCGCATTTATTTGGCACATTTATTGGTTAAAAAACGTCCATTGGATGACGTTCTAAACCGCTTTCGTTTCGTTTCTTGGCAAAAAAAAAAAGAAGAGACATGAACAAGTTTTTTCTGCGAATCAAATGATTGAATTTTCAATTTGTAGAAACTTTTTTTCGAATAAGTGAAATGAAATGTAATGGCGCCCTTTTTTGCTTGCGAAATGTGTTAGAATTTTCAACTAATTAAATGTAGTTTTAGCTTGTTAATTATACAGAAATTGAAATGAATACTTATATTCGGATGTTGTTGCTGTTTGGTTTTTGATTGTTTATTTTTAGCTTGCAAATTCAGTATCATGGTCGTCCCACTGCCGCTGCACCATCGACGGGAAACAAGAAACAGCATGAACGTGAATTACATGATTTGTTGGTCAGCATATTCGGTGAATTAACCGAAGCCGAAAAGGAAGTACTGAAGAAAGAGGAAGAGGCACGAATGGCAAAGGCCAAGGCTGAAGCTGAGCAGAGAGCTAAAGTAGCAAAGGCGGCAAAGTCAGCTGAAAATCCCAAAAATGATAAAACGGATCCTAAGAAACCATCAAATGATGGGAAAAAATAAAACCTTTTGATTGATGAGAAAATTTTCATTTGTACCCAGACATTTTTTATTACATTATATTCAGGCATGTCACAGAAGTTTTACGAAATCGATTTATTTCACCTTTTCCAAATCGTTACGATTTGCTTTTGCTTCTTCAGCACTCGTACGTTTTGACTAATCCGGAAAAAAAATCATTTCACATTTTTGAAATAAAAATATGGTAACTCCATGAAAAAAAATGGTCGTAAACAAATTATTGACAATTTAAAAAGGAGTTTAAATTGTTTTTTATAATATAAACACCAAAAGTAAAAATGCCAGGGGCTTCAATACTTGCTGTAATGGATGAAGAAATAACTCAGCGGTCTACTGAAAAAATTCGTCGCCGGACATTGAGGAACGCATCAGATCCTTTATCTCACTCAAATGCAGAGTAAGGATCCACCAGCAATGAGTTATTTTCAAATTTATTTTAATAATAATTTATTTCTACAGATTTATAACTTATTATCGGCTAAATAAAGAAGCTTTTGTTTTAGTTTTGGAAAAAATTTCTCCCCACCTCAAACGTTCCAATATACCGGCTATTATCCAGCTTGCAACAACGCTTAGGTTTTTGGCTACGGGTGCATTTCAAGGAGTTATAGGTAGAGATGTGGAGCTAAGCCTTGGGAGAAGTACAGTTTCTACAATTATGTGGAGAGTTATTAATGCAATTGAAGCTGAAATTTGTCCACATTGGATCAAATTTAGAATGTCTTCCGAAGAAAAAAGAAAGTCGAAATTGTACTTTTTTGAAAATTATGAAATTCCAGGAATTGTAGGATGCATTGACGGAACTCACGTTAGAATGTCTCAAACCAAACAATTAATTGTTTTTTTTTTTTTGTTTTTCCCCTTTCTTGCTTTTTGGTCTGTCAGTTTTACATTTCTACACCTTCTTCTTCAACACATGGCAATAATTCAACAATACAAGTCTGCCGTTCATTTCTGCATATTTTTTTGCATTTTCATCATGGATTAGAAAAATAATAGATTTTTTGTAAAATAAATTCCAAAAACATGTTCATTCTAAGAGAATTTGGTTAATACAATATTTTCTGTTAAATGTATGTGTCTTCTGTTTATTTTTTACGTTAAAATCACCAAACATTTCAATTTCACCCTGCTTTTTGAAAGTGATATCAAAACGCAAAATTTTTGCGTTTTCCGTTTTTTAGAGAAGCTAAATCCGTTTTCGTTTTCACTCTTGAACGATTTTACATTCTGTGACATGCCTGATTGTCTAAAATTATATATGTTTGTAATAATATACCGATTTTTATTATTTCAAATTTTGTACACATAGCTAATGATGGAGATTGTTTTTTTTTAACTACCCTAGGGGAGAGGGATGTAAAAAATGTAATTAACCTCATTCAATTCCTTACATTCCACACTTTTATTTTCTGTTACTGGAATTCATTCTAAGTTTAGCGTATCCCAAAAATATAGCAGAAGGGAAAGCCATAGAAATAACCTTTACTTCACGAAGCTAATTCCTTTACTTCACGAAGCTAATTCCTGCCTGAAACTGAGCCTTTAAAAAAATAGTTAAATAAATATACGTACATTGATTTATTAATGTGTCGATACATGGCTGCTTGGCATTACAGCATGGAATATTATAAAGGGATGTCAGAGCCGATTTAATATTATTATTTTTTTCTATATAATTATTGTAACCTCTCATAAAACCTCCAATGGGGCGAAATTATCACAAAAAGGCTTAATGTAAACGAAGCTTAAAGGATCAAAATGTTATCATTCTTCAGTGAATAGCTGGTAAACTATAAACGCCGTTCGTTAGTCGCCATTTTCATTTTTAACGTGAACGCCGACAGAAATATTCAACAAGCCTTGGTTCTCTGCTGGAAAAACCGCAAAAAAATAAGTATAATACAATTCGATTCATACATTCTTGATTTCGGAATTATCTCACTACAGACGAAAGACATTGCTTAAATTTAAGCAGCAAATAAAAGAGAAAAAACTTTTCTTCCCTAACGTTTCAAATAAAAAACCACAAAAATAGCGGCTCAACACAAGTGGGTGGATTATTCCCAGGCCCAAAGTCTTTGCTGTTTCTTTGAGAATCAAAATACAATGAACGAAGCAGCATTAGCTGGAATGCTTCCATACGACTCTATCGGTCTATATGAGCAGCCAAAACCACGATTCATCTTTAAGATGCCCAGAGTGGTACCGGACCAGAAGTCCAAATTCGAGAGTGATGAGCTATTTCGTCGCCTTAGCCGTGAAAGTGAGATACGTTATACGGGATATCGTGAACGAGCCTTAGAGGAGCGTCAAATACGTTTTCAAAATGGATGCCGTGAGGGTCATACCGAGATATCGTTTGTTGCTTCAGGCACAAATTTACAATTGGTCTTCAATGCTACACAGAATCCCTATATACATGACAAAGAATGCGATTTCGACAAGGAACATGGTAAGGTCTACATCAAGTCGTATTTCATAATGAATGGCGTTTGTGTACGATTCCGTGGATGGTTGGATTTGGAACGTCTCGATGGATCCGGTTGTTTGGAATTTGACGAACGGCGAGCTATGCATGAAGATGCTATACTACGCGATCAAATCGACAGATATAATCAACGTTTAAGGGAATTTGAAGATTCGAAAAGAGCCTATAGAGAAAATCGTCCCGAAGACTTGGAAGCCGTGCGACGTGGGGTATCATCTGGTGGCATAGGCGTTGGAGCAGCTAGCATGTGGCGACGTTAAATGCTGTGAAAAAAAATACTCAATTATTACCATTCTCGTATGATATTTCTAATAGGTTAGTTTACATTTATAATTAGTTCTAATCTTGCCACTCCACACTTTGGTCACCCCAAAAAATAATGCAATATTTTAAATGATGAAAATATGATTTTAAGTATCTCACATGTAGATGTTGACTGAGCAAAAAAATAATCGGTAAACCAATACGATGTGGGTTTACGCCGAGGAATTAGTATTTAAGTTTTAAATAATAAACCAAATAAAATAAGCATAATTGCTAATATGGACGTAGTTGTGCGACTTGTTTGTTTTGCATATAAGCTATAGAGGTATTTGGTTTAGCTCGATTTATAGAAAATTGGAGCACGATAATACACATTCCTAAATGACGATGCAACAGTGGCTACAAACCAAAAATATTTTTAAATTTTTGATTTATTTAAAAAATGAAAATTTCGATTGGAATTGGGCTTTTCTGTCGCATTCAGTTTCGTACCTTCATAGAGAAACAGGCCCTTAGACTGTTATATTAAAAATCTGAATTGCTTAGTAAAGGGATACATATCTACACTACTTTTAAAGGCGCTATTTTTTATAAAAATTAAATTAAATAGTTCAAAAAGAAAACATTTTTGCTATGTCCATATACTGCGACTAAAATGAACTAAAAATAGTGAGTTTAACATTGCAAGTGTTAATTGGGTCTATGGAACGTGAGTATATGACCCAAATTGGCATATATCGGCTTATGGTACATTTTAGAAAACCATAGATTTCTCTGGCCTATACTTCTACCCTTTAGGAACACAAAATACTAGACTGAAAACAATTCGTTTTGAAATTGTTGTTTGAACCGAACAAAATACACATTCTTAAGAACACAAAATACTAAATTCAAAAATTTGGCTAAAATCTTAAGCCGTGATATGGAGCCTAAGGGAAGTGTAATCCAATCGAAACCCAAAATACCACATTGAAGAAATACACATTTTCAAGATCACTTTAATTGGGAGGTATCATTATATGAGAAGCATTTACGGTTTCGAAAATTGAAAATAACAATTATATTGAAACCTTTTCTCTGCGTTTTATCATCAATATTACTTGTAAAGGACCTACAAGCTACAATATTATTACTTAGCATTAATGTCAATTAGCCCATATATCAGTTTTGGCATTTTAAAAATCCTTGTAACCATCAAAGCTATCCCTTAAATACAATTTTTTTCTTTTGTGCACCTATTCTGTCAAAATATATACACAATTTATATATGTGTGTGTATTATTTTGAATTAAAAAGGAAATAATTTTATATTATTTGAAATTTAGGTGCAACAAAAAGGCATATTTTCCACGTTGTCGGGCAACAAAATTTATTAATTTGTGATGAAACAACATTTCCAATCTATTTTGAATTCAATTTTGTGGAGAAACCCCAATATTTCATTCATATTTTGTGGGTTTTTCCCAATGTAGTAATTTTGTGAATAAAATATTGAAATAAACAAAACCAATTGTTGCATTTTAAAATATATATTTGACACTATAAGACTCCGGCACAGAGTTGCATTTTCCTTGTTTTTTCGAAGTTGAGCAACCTTTCTTATTGGGACATGCTTCTTTACAATTATATTAATTTTTATGTTATTACCTCCATTTAAAACAGGTTTGGCTTAATTATATCTGGAAGCCTCGTGATTTGATTGATCATAAGTATTCGGTTCGATAGACATCACTAAAATAGCCAGTCAGATCTTATTGACAATCAACTCGATGGACAAATGTAAACAAAAGTTCTCTTAAATTGGCTGTTGCAACAATATTTTTATATTATTTTAATGATTGCAATATGACCTCTATTTGAATCATTTTTGGTCAAATTATCTCAGGAAGACTGGTAAGTTGTTTTACAATTTTTCTGGACGTTTTCTAACATCACTATTAATTCGGTTCGATTGACATCACTGAAATAGGCAGTCATCTCTTATTGACAATCACTTAACAAATATGGCAACACATTGCCGGCAGAGGTCAAACAAAACGTCAAAATTATTTTGTTCTAGAACAAACGTAAACAAGAGTTCCCTTAAACTGTTGCAACAGTATTTTTCTATAATTATTTTAATTTTTGTAATATAACCTCTATTTGGATCATGTTTGGCTTAATTATCTCTGGAAGACTGGTAAGTTGTCTGTGGAACAATCCATCTGATATGTCGCGGAACAACATTCATTCATCTCAACATTGTTGTGCACAGCCTCAAACAGACTTCACACCGGTGGATGAAAACAAACTGCTGATTAATGTACCAGACATAGATCATGTTAACTATATTGTGGTGTTCCTAACCGGTGTCCAACCCCTGCCCGATGGCATGTCGGCGGCTGTGTATTTCTCTTGGCCAGATGCCTCAGCGGCACCAACATGGCAATATTTAGGACACATCTCGAACAGTAAACCCTCGGCTATATTTAAAATCTCACAATTGAAAAAGTCGCATGAGCTAGAGGCTCAGGAGAATGCTATGCAATTCGGTGCTCAAGAAATTTCGCATACTGCACAAATTGGTATATCTGTGGAACCAGAAATGACCATAACACAACTAACACCGGCAGTGGTAAGTAGAGAGAGTGCTACTCATAACATGTTTTATTTAATTACTTTCATTGTTTTCTTTGTCACAGTCGAATGCCAATGCTAACTTGCAATTCAGTCAGAAAATGTTGGAGAATTTCTTCAACTATGCCTCCAGTTTCAGTGTAACACCTCATGAACTACCACCGATGAGCAATCAACCAATGGTGCCATTATCAACGTTACAAAACTGGTATACAAATTTCCAAAGGCGCATGGAACAAAATCCCAACTTTTGGAAATATTAAAAACCTGCCTCACACACTGCTTAATTTTGCATCTGTTGGAAATGCTAATGTTTTCATAACACCGGTGGCAGCACCGGTCCATATGGTCATCGTAAAGTTACTTTTTTTAATTTCATTTAGCATACTTGTAATAAGTTAAGACATTTTATTATTATTTTTTGTATGTTTTACTCGATGTGAGAGTATGGTTTGTTAGTTTAAATAACCGAATACAACTCAAGAGTTTTTTATAAAAAAAATTAAATGAAGAAAAAAATACACAAAAGAAAAGACAAATATATATTACCACGAGTTTTTTTTTATTAGAACATACCTAGATTTATTTACTAGTACATACCTAGGTGTATTGTTATGTAAGTATTATTTCAAGATGCAGATATACATATACCATAGAAAATTTTCGGTTGACTGCATTGACTCGCTTCAAAATGCGGCAACTGATATATGAGTCAAATGATATAATATGATCTATGATGGATCATAGCAAGTAGAGTGCACACCTTGATTATGGGTTCAAGGACCGGGATAAACCACAATATACCTTACTGTTATATATAAAATATGTATATTTTGAGAGCTTTTAAAAAATACCTATCTCAAGGCCCGATTACATATTGTGGCAGTTAAAGTGTAAATGGATATTAATTAATATTGTACTATAAAGGGGTTTTTTTTTAAATTAAAATACTTGGGAACGTCTAAAAGTATGCTATAAAAACGCTGTAGATAATTGAGGAAAAAGACACTTTACCGCAACAAGTGGTCAATTATGGTCTGGTAACGGTTTTAATCGGTTATAATCTAAACTGGGTATTGAACTCAGTCAAATATATAGATAAGGGGGCCCGTTTACCAAGAAAAAAACTTTCCTGGAATCAGGTATATAAAATCATTTGATTTCAACAGATGGACAAGTACATATACAGATAAAAAATAAATATTTAAGAATAATCTCGTTTTTTCCTCTGGCAATGCCGCAAACGCCAACATTTTCCATTGTGTTTACCATATGGCACACTCTGCCGAAAGAGGAAAGAAACGTCAAATTAAACCTGTCACTTCCTTGACAGAGAAGAAAGTAGAAAGAAAAACACTACCTTTCATTGGCGAGGACGGACGCACGCTTTTTTTAATATTTTGATTGGATCAAACAAATTATGGCTGGACTTGTCCACTTGGCGAGAATTTGCAGTAAACATCAACAATACTTCAGCAGCCATAGAACTTTCAGTACTTTGGGACGTTATCAATTCTGCAAATTCAATGCTCCCGGTCAGCATCATCGTGTGGCAGCAAATTTGGTAAGTGGCTAATGGATGTACGCACAATTATGCCAACACGTATGTATGTTTGTTTTTTTATTTGTCAATATTTCAAGGCCAATCTGGTTGAGATTTTGTTAGAAAAAACATCTGATACAAATATTTCGTAATAAAGGTACATGTTTGTTATTATTCGACTAATATTCCGGCGTTGTTGTATTTTATTAAAAGAACGATATCTGATTCTGAGATGAAGAAGATATTGGAATCTAGAATGATCGGAATCACATGAATACGAATAAGGTTCTAAGAAGTGATGGGGGAGACTTATAGGAAGCTCCATATGTTGTAGCAGAACTAGATTTGTTACATATTGGTCTGAGGTGTTAGTTCTGGACCGATTGGGAATTAGTTAATTTTGGATCCTAGAATTGAATGTTGTGGAAATCTAGCAATGTTACTAAATTTTACCAAAATATTAAAAGGCAATTTGGTCCCCATTGCCTAAATATTGTGTAGGGCCATCGATCAATACTTGGCAAAATGCAGTTACATGATATTGCTCTGAACCGGCTGACTAAATTTTTACCTTAATGTACTTCATCGGATAGGCAATTGCAAAATTCAACAGCACCGCTTCAGACTGCTCAAATGTAACTTCCATTTTGAGTCTCCCGTTTCAGTTTATGTTTTAAAAGTTAATTTTTTTTTTTAAATCAGATTTACCCGTAACCTAAGCAATATACACAACTCGTTGGCTTTAACAGTTTCGAGAATTATATATTTATAGCTTTATTTTTTATTTCGTGTTACGAATGTTACGTAATTTTTGTAAATTGATCCAAAAAATAAGGTTTCTGTTTTGTATCATTTAATCCTTATCACCTTTTACAAGGTGAGATAAAAAAACTGCAACAAATCAAACGCCATAATTTTTACATTTCTTTTTTTAAATTTTATTCAATGAAAGCAAAAAATGTAATGTAGGAAATGTAGGAAATAGTATAAAATTTTAGAATAAGTTTTGATTTGTTCGAACTGGTCACCTTTGGCCGAATTATGGCCTTCAAAGGGATAACGAAACTAGTGCGATGGTGCTGCCCTTCAGAATATTTTCGCGATTATATTCGACATTTATTCTGATGCCATGTTCGATTAATACGAGCGGAGAACGACCATCGGCTGTTATGGCGGCCCACACCATCACCATGGTCGGCGCTTGAGTTCTGGTGGCCAACCGAATGTGCACATTTTCAGTTGTCCTCTTGGCAAGTAAACACGATCATTATGTTTGTTTACAAACTGCTGGACAACGAATTTTTTCTTATCGGAGACGGAAAAAACCAAATTCCGCAGTCTACCAATTTCGGCCAAGCGCAACTCTTTAGCTCTTTTGAGTCTATTTTCTTTCTGTTGCGGTGTAAGTTATTGCATTTTTGGTATTTCAGTGGCTTTACCTCGAGCTCTTTTTTTCAATATTTGCTGAATGGAATTTTGCGATATGTTAGCTCATGAACCATTTTTCGGCCACTGCGAAAAGTCGCTTCTCTACTTTTCGAACCATTTCTGCTGATGTTGCTGTTTTCTTCCGTCCATTTCCTTGACGTCGGGCTACGCTATCACGCTTGAATTCTATCACGAATAACTTTTTTTCTGGAAAATTCTCACCAAAATACTTTTGTATGCTTGTAAACAATATAATAAGCTGTCACTGGAATAATTTTAACAGCTGTCGGACGAGTGGCTTAGAAATGACAGCAGTCTGAAGTTGGTTGCAGTTTTTTCAACTCACCCTGTATTTTGAAAAGAATTTCGTACGTCTTAGTCACATAGGAAGGGAATAACTTTTTGGCCATACATAAAGAGAAAAAGACAATCCTTTGTTATTTTATAAAATCTTCCAATTTGATCTCAGTGTAATTTAGCTTCTAAAGTCAACGGCTGGCATGTGGTCATTTTTCATGGGCGTTTAGGGAATTTTGGATTTGGTTATTTCTTAAAGTTTGAACTTCTCTTCAACCGATGTTATACGAAGCCTTACTTCATTAATTCTATGGGACACCTCCTTACAAATCGAAAATAAACTCTTCATACTAGGTCAAAAATACTTAGTGTGAATTCATATGTTTTTCGAAAATTAATAACTTTTAAATATGCAATTATTGGCAAATATTTCCACAGTTTCTATATGATATAAATATTTTAGTGAATACTGTTCAAGAAATTTGCTACAAAGATCTATTACTTCTTTTTTATATTGCTATTCAAGCTATGAAATAAAAACTTACTATAAATTCCCTTCATCTTGTTATCTTTGCAGACATTTTAAATTTCACCTTAACTTACTGTCTAAAAAGTATTCTCAAAAAACAACCGAAAAGCTGTTCCTATTACAACAGTGGTGGTGTATATTTTGTATATCTTTTTTGTCTGCTAATCAAAATGGGACGCACTTATCGTTATCGTAAACAACGACAAAAATTAGCCAATGAACACGAGCAAATTAAAGATGAAAGATTTTTACCTGATTTATACAAATATTTAAGTTCGTTAGGCTGGAGAAACAAAAGTCAATTAACAGCCAGAAACTTTGCGGCAACGGGTCGTGGTTTATGTTCAAAATCCCTTACATTAGAAATAGGCTCTGAACTCATCAATTTACCCAGTGATGCACTTTTAAGCATTAAAACCCTTGAAAATGATGAAGATTTTAAAGAATTATTTGATGAAAGCAAATTCGATAAAGACCATAAAATATCATTTCAAGCATTGATGGCATTTTATATTTTATTTCAAAAAGTTCTGGGAGATAATTCAAAATTTCTTGCATATCTAAAATCCTTGCCTAGTTTTTTTACAACTCCTTATTTTTGTCCAATTGCGGAATTGCAATGTTTGCCCGAAAATATTTTGGAAAAAACTGTGGAGCAAAATCGCCTTATTAAATTGGCTTACAATAATTTAAAAACTGTTATAAAAATCACGGATTTTGAGGTTCAATATCCACTACAACAATTTCGCTGGTCGTATTTTGTTGTGAATACAAGAAGCGTTTATGTCTTTGGCAAACAATTGAAATCTGAAAAGTCATTCTTTCAAACTCTTATAACAGAAGATTGCAATTTGGCTTTGGCCCCGTTTTTAGATCTTTTCAATCATTCAGATCAAGTCACTACTCAGGCTGACTTGATACGTAATAGCCAAACAAAAGAACTGGAATTTATATTAACCTTGGAGAGTTGTGAAAATTCAAAAATTCCTCCTTTACAACAAATTTTCATAAGTTATGGGGCCTTGACAAATTTGAAACTTTTGTCTGAGTATGGATTCTTTTTGCCCTCCAATCGTCATGATTATTTTGAATTTTCCCTCAATGATATAGAGAACTTTTTGCACACGGAGAAGACACTTAAAGGCCGAGTGTTTCATAAAAACAAATTTAAATTCATTCGAGAACATAATCTATGTGATCAAATGTTTGTGCATTGTGTAGAGGGTATATCGCATAATTTGCACGTGGTATTACATTTATTGTTCAAAGAAGAAAGTTATTTTCCCAATATACTGAATCAAGTGGCCTTTGGTTCCGTTGAGAATTTGCAAAATGTTAACGAAGATGTGAAACTTTTGTTGAAATTTAAACTTAACGAATATGAAATATTTATTAAATCTTTGGAATCAATCAAAACCTTATCGAAATCAGGAACTGTTGCTAAATCCTATTTGCAAGAATGTCATAAATATCTAAACGATTGTATAGTTACAATTGCATGTTAGCTTTTAAGTTGTTTTATTATGGAAAATAAAAAAGATCATTTTATATGTTTTTATAGAACAAAAAAATGTGTGTGTGTTTTATTTATATTTTGGCATTGGTTTCTTTTTTCTTATTTCTTTGTAGCTGCTTAGCTCCCGCACGACTGTGACCAAGGTGGACGATGGCTCTTCGACAAAAGACCCACACAGAAAGAAGATAACACCATTTACTCCAACGCCGGGTAGTAAATTGCTAGGTGGTGTTTTTGTTAAGAAGGGACCAAAAGGTAATTGTAGAGCACATGTTGGTCAAGCTGGAAATTATTAAATTCCAGTACGTGGAAGTTATCGAGCAAATGGCTGTGTTATCTATTGTATCCTGTCTCTGCCATTCTTACTTTTCTATCTATCTTTTTCAATATTATTTGGTGTTGATAATGAACGATTAGTTTAAATTATCCCCCCTTTTTACAACATTTTTTAGTATTAAAGTCTTCGTAAAGGGTTTGTAGAATGCGTAAGCTATAATGTTTGTCTTGGAAATCCAATCTTTTGTCTCTCTTTTTTTTAGTTTGCCATTTTTATTTTTTCTTTCTACATTTTCTTTTCTACCAAGAATTGTCATGAGATAATATTCCATTAAGCTTCATTTTATGGAAAAGGGTTGACCAGTAGATGCAGCTTGATGGGATGTAAGAAGTTTAAGAATGCATTGTGTTATCCCAATAAAATGTCGATGTCCTAACACTGCAGTCGTTATGATCAAATACCAAATACCAGTTATAGATCTGCTCTCTTTAAGGGAAATTTAAGTTAATCTTCTACTTAAAATAGTTTACTAAAAAGGGAAAGATATTCATCTCCGGTAGAGTAGTTGCGGTTAGGTTAGGTTAAAGACGCACGGAGGTTGATAAAATTTTAATCAAATGTGTATTATGTCTGCAGGACTTTTGGTATTATAAATGGATCATGTAGGTCCACGTTTTGGTATAGCCCCCATATAATTGTACCTCCCTTTTTTCGGTATTTTGGTGATTGAAGCGACATTATTCACCGGAATTGTTTCAAATTTAGTATTTAAAGTTCGTAATGGATACTACAGTCTATGCCAGAAAATTGTCTGTGCAGCCCCCATACAAGGATTCCTCCCGATATTTGGTATTTTGATTATTTTAGCGACATTATTCACCGGAATTGTCTCAAATTTGATGTTTGAAGTTCGTAATGGATACTACAGTCTAAGACAGAAAAATGTCTGTGCAGGTCCACGTCTTCGTATAACCCTCATATAACGGCACCCTTTCGCTATTCGGTATTTTGATGATTTTAGCTACATTATTCACAGATTTTATACAAGTTTCGTATTTGAGTGGCCTATGAAAAAAGTTGTCTATGCAGGTCCACGTCTTCGTATAGACCCTAAAATAACACCTACATTCGGTATTATTAAGATTTTAACAGAATTTTTAACTGATTTTATTTTTTTTTAATTGCCAAATTCGTTCGTGTACCTCGTGAAAAACTATCTAAGAACATGTTTTGTTTCGTTATAACATATGTTTTTCGTGATTTTTTTTATAGTCTATGGAAATCTATCAAAATTTAACCCTGTTGACTTATTCCATTAATTCCAATTTTGTATGTCCAAGAATACGTGGTGAAATAATTGTCTTTCTTTTTCGAATTTCCTTAAGCTCATCTGTGTATATCGTGTTATATAGTATACCCGATTTCGGAGGCATGTATATATCTGAACAAATATACCTATATATACGTACCTTCATTTCTCGACACTTTTATTTGTTCTTCTTATCCTGCCAAAGATCTTATGTTTTTATATATTTTGTCATCTTTTTGCAGGAGATGAAATACTTTTGAGACAATTCTGTTTAAGATGTTTCAAATCACTTCATCTCCTGTAAAAAGAATTTATTTATTTTTTGTTTTAGTAATATTATATTTTTCATTATATATTTATGATTTCTAATAACAAAATTAACAAATTTTATTCGTGTACATCTTTCAACCATTTGAACATAAAAAATATCATAGAATCGTAATAAAAATTATACCCAAAAAGTTAGGCTCGTCCATAGCCACTATAGTTTATTGTTTAGTAGAAATTCAGTACCAAGAAAAAGTAATACAGACACCAATTTTTCATGGGCAGGAGGAAGAATGACCAAAACCCCAACTCTTTTGTTCATGAAACTTTCTATGTACGAATCAAAATATTAATTGTTGCTACGTATGAAAACGTTTTTTAATCTTAAGCTATTTTTATTTGGAAAACAATTCAAATGGTTGCAGAAGTACACTGACGTTTTTCTCTGTACAAATTAACTTTTCCGTTTTTGCTTTGTTTGTAATGTTAACCAAGAAAAAAATCACATTTGATTAACAAAATTTAAACAATAACTAGCAAGAAAATTTGCATTTTTAATTTGTTACGTATGTATATATAAATAAAATTATATGCTTGTGTGTTGTGTTGCCCTGTGGGGATCTTACGTTGTTCAATTTAGTAAATCCCTGCAGGTCCAGCCCAACATGTACAAACATTGCAACAACAACAACAAAAACAACAACTCCAAATACAACCGTTACGACAATGTCACGTTCATCTAGGAGGTGGTGGTGATGGGGGTAGTAATCTAGGAAAATTAGATGCACCAGAAGTGACATCCAAAGATATGATAAGGGCAATGATGGCCTACATTTGGCCCAAAGATGATGCTCTGGTTAGGAAAAGGTAAGTCATAACGAAAATGTCAACACAATAGTTTTAAAACTATTTTTTTTCCTTATACTTAGAGTTGCCATATCATTGGGTCTATTAGCTGGTTCCAAAGTCCTGACTGTCTGTGTGCCATTTTTATTTAAGGGAGCTGTGGATACAATGGGTAGTCTAACAATGGATACACCTGCCGATACAATTCTAACCACCGCCACAGCCATGTTAATTGGATGTAAATTGAAATATTCATTAGATTTTTGGATTCTTTTATAAACTTTTATTTTTTATTAATAGATGGTATTGCCCGTGCCAGTGCGGCCGGTTTCAATGAGCTGCGTAATGCCGTCTTTGCCAAAGTCGCTCATCACTCCATTCGTAAAATAGCCACCAATGTATTTTTACATTTACACAATCTGGATTTGGCATTCCATCTAAACAAGCAGACTGGTGCATTATCTAAGGTGAGAATCTACACGAAAAAAGCTTCGAAGCTCAATCTAATTGATATAAATAATAAGAAAGGAATACTTAATGGACAAATGCGTAATAACCCAACCATATTCCCAATTCGAATCAGCTAAGGTTGTACGATTTAAAGAGACGACAGTCTAAACTACGAATTAATTTCTTCTGATCAAAACATTAAAACATGTGCATTTGGCACAGGCATACCCATTGGAATATATATGCAGGAAAATAAAAGACAAAGGGTTAAAATCAGGGGTAGGCAAATAGTATCCCATGGGATGTCTGTGTGTTCATCAACAAAATTGTAATTAATAAATTGTTTTGAATTTTCTTTCAAAAAGGTTTTGGTAGAATATTTAGTTTTATTCGAGCAGTCGATGAGGAAGTTTCTACCGGATATTTTAACTTCCTATATTATTTTACAGAGAACTTTACAGATTTAATGGTGGAATGTTTGGGTGATATCGAAAACACACTTCAGCACTTTTAAATATTTAATTTTGGTTTCAGAAAAAGGTGTGTCTATTAGCGTTTATTGATTAAAAACCAGTAAAGAAAGTCCTAAATTCGGGCAGGGCCGACTTTATTATACCCTACACCATTTTGCTAATTTAGTTGAGCTCCACATAACAATTAGAAGTTTGTATGGGAGAATTCAATCATACTCCCTATGATTATAACTATAATTTAAAATTCAAAGGAATAAATATGCCGAAGCATTTGTATCTTTTAAATTCGGACTTGTATTGCCCATTTGGTGCAAAATGTATTTGGAATCAGATAAAGATATATATGGGAGCTATATCCAAATCTGAACCGACCTCGATAAAATTTGGCAAAGATATTTCTGAGCTGTATTTGATATATTTCCCTGAATATCGTTGTTACGGAGTGCATATTACGGCTATGGGTAACAAATACACCAAATCGGATGAACAATATATATGGGAGCTATAATTATTTCTGCACCGATCATCACCAAATTTGGCATACTACCGTCTAGACTCAATTCGGTCGTATCTGCCAAATTCCATTCCATTTGGGCAAAAATTAGACGTTTGGTGCACAATAAAATGTAAATCAGACGAAGTTATATATGGGAGCTATATCCAAATCTGAACCGATCTCGATAAAATTTAGCAAAGGTATTTCTGAGCTGCATTTGATATATTTCCCCAAATATTGTTGTTACAGAATGCATATTACGGCTGCGAAGGACAAAAATAACAAATCGGATGAACAATATATATGGGAGCTATAGCTATATCTGAACCGATTTCGATCAAATTTGGCATACTTATTTCCAGGCCCAATTTAGTTGTATATGCAAAATGCCATACTATTCGGGCTGATATTACACGTTTGGTGCACAATAAAAGGCAAATCGGACGAAGATATATATGGGAGCTATATCTAAATTTTTACCGATTATCTCCAATTTCAATAGGGTTCGTCCTTGGGCCACACAAATGTTGTTTGGAAAATTTCATCTCAATCGGATAATAAATGCGACCTGCATTTTGTTCACAAGAATACATGGACAGACGGACGGACAGACGGACTGACATGCATAAATTAACTCAGGAAGTTGTTCTATGCAGATCATCAAAAGGAACTATGGGTCTATCTCGTTTCCTTTTGCCTGTTACAAAAAAATGCACAAAGACATAATACCCTGACCACTTTGTGGCGTAGGGTATAAAAAACTGCAACAAAGTCAAATGCCATAAATTTTACATTTTTTTTAAATTTTATTGAATGAAAGCAAAATATGTCGGAAATAGCATCAAATTTTAGAATAAGATTAGATTTGTTCAAATTGGTCACCTTTGAAACGAATTATGACCTTCAAACTGAGCTGCCCGAATGTTGCTCTGCAGTATTTTGGCCCATTCCCGGCGAAGCGCTTGCTTGAGGTGATCGACACTTTGGTATTTTTTAGTGCCAACCTTGTTTTCCAAAATACCACAGACACCATAGTCCAACGGATTGGTATCCGGAGATTTTAGTGGCTATTGTGAGCTGGAAATGAAGCGAGGAACATCATTTTGTAACCATTCTTGGGTTGCGCGTGCTGAGTCCTATTGGAATGTCCAAAATGTTTGTGTGCCCAAGGCTTTAATACACCTTCCAGAATATATACGCGATAATATTCGGCATTGTTTCTGATGCCACGGTCGATTAATACGAGCGGGGATCGGCTGTTATTGCGCCCCACACCATCACCATGGCCGGCGCTTGAGTTCTGGCGGCCAACCGAAGGGGCACTTTTTCAGTTGACCACTTTGGCAACACGATCATTTTGTTTGTTCACAAACTGCTGAACAACGAATGTTTTCTCATCGGGAAAACCAAATTCGGCAGCTCACCACTTTTGGAAAAGCGAAGCAACTCTTTAGCTCTTTTGAGTCTATTTTCTTTCTGTTGCGGTGTAAGTTCTTGCACTTTTTGGAATTTCAATGGCTTTACACCGGAGCTCATTTTCCAATATTTGCCGAATGGAATATTGCGACGCGGGTTTCCTTTTGTTTATCACACATCTATAAAAGATTCCTGATTTTCGGTGGGCCACTTTTTTATGATTTCTCTTTCAACCATTATCTCAATACCTTAAATATTTTTTAAGTCATTCGTGTTATCTTTTCTCCTCCAAAAAAATTTATAGTTTACTAAATTGTGTAAATATATCAGCGATTCTTTTTAACAAAACATAAATTACTGGGAAAAAAATTCGAAGGCTCTTCAAAAAATATTCTTTAAAAATCCACCTATTGTAGGCTCTTCAAAAATATTCTTTAAAAATCCACCTCTTGTAGGCTCTTCAAAAAATATTCTTTAAAAATCCACGTCTCGAAAGCTCTTCAAAAAATATGAAAATAAATATAAAAAGCAACAAAGTATTACTCGCTGTGTAAATAGAGTTAAAAAGACGCTTTCCATATTTTTTATTTCGAAACACAATCACAAAATAATTTTGAATTTCTCTGCCTAGCCCTGGTTTTAGTTATTAATAAAAATAATAAGTTTTAAGTACTAATGACACACATATTTCGTAGATAAAAAATATTTTATCATTGTAGATTGATTTCTTAATTAGAATTTCCTCCAAGATTGAAGCAAATATCTATAGTTTTTAAAGTAATTTTTCTAAATTTATGAAACGATTTTTCGCTAATATTATTAACAATTCAAATTTATATAATCATTATTAATATTCCTTTTCAACACTTTTCCTTTACAGACCATCGATCGTGGTTCTAGAGGAATTAATTTCGTTTTAACTGCCATGGTATTTAATATCGTTCCCACCATTTTTGAACTGGCTTTAGTATCCAGCATATTGGGTATAAAGGTAATTTCATCAAATTTAATATTCCATATTTCATAACTTATTTTTCACTTCTTTTTCATTTCAGTGCGGTCTAGCATTTGCCGGTGTTTCAATGGGTTGTGTCGGCGTTTATGCTGCCTACACACTCTCGGTGACACAATGGCGTACAAAGTTCCGTGTTTACATGAATCAAGCCGAAAATGAGGCTGGCAATAAGGCTGTGGATTCCCTAATTAATTACGAAACAGTTAAATATTTCAATAATGAAAAATTCGAGGCTGCACGATATGATCAAGTTTTGAAAAAATACGAATCGGCCAGTTTGAAAACCAGTTCAAGTTTGGCTGTTTTGAATTTTGGTCAAAATGCCATTTTCAGTACGGCCTTAAGTGTGATAATGGTTTTGGCCGCCAATGAAATAGCCAAGGGCAATATGACAGTGGGAGATTTGGTTATGGTCAACGGTTTACTCTTTCAATTGAGTATCCCGTTGGGCTTTTTGGGTAGTGTTTATCGTGAAGTACGTCAGGCTTTGTTGGATATGCAAGCCATGTTTACACTGATGAATGTGGATAGTCGTGTCAATGCTCCGGTGAATGCTCCCCCCTTGCTGTTGGGTCCCGATAATGCTTCGATTGAATTTAAAAATGTTAATTTTGAATATGAACCGGGCAAGCCGATTTTTAAAGATTTATCCTTTGTAATACCGGCTGGAAAGAATATTGCATTTGTTGGTGGTTCCGGTTCGGGGAAATCATCAATGGTTCGCTTGTTATTTAGATTTTTCGAACCTAATTCGGGTAAAATATTGATTGGTGGACAGGATATCAGTGAAGTGGATATTGATAGTTTAAGGAAGTCGATAGCTGTGGTGCCGCAGGTGAGTAAGATAAATATTAATATCAGCGAAATACCAAACACGCTTTTGAAAATATTTTCCCCTGCTTAAAAAATTTGTCAATCTAGTGTTTGCCTCTTTGTACCCTACACCGCAAGGTGGTCAGGGTATTATGTCTTTGCGTATTTGTTTGTAACAGGCAAAAGGAAACGAGAAAGACCTATAGTTCCTTTTGATGATCTGCATACAATCACATTCTGAGTCGATTAATGTATGTTCGTCCGCTCATCTGTCTGTCCATTTCTTTTTGTAAACAAAGTACAGATCGCATTTATTGTTGCCTAGATGAAATTTTGCATAAGTCATTTGTTTGACCCAAGGACGAACCCTATTGAAATGGGACATAATAGATCAAAATTTAGATATAGCTCCCATGTATATCTCCGCCGTTTTGCCTTTTATTGTGCCCCAAACGTGTAATATCAGCCCAAATAGTATAGAATTTTCCATGTACGACCAAATTAAACCTGGAAATTAGTATGCCAAATTTGATCGAAATCAGATATAGCTATAGCTCCCACATATATTGTTCATCCGATTTGATATTTTCGTCCTCCGCAGTCTGTAACAACGTTATTTGGCGAAATATATCAAACACAGCAGAGAGATACCTTTGTTAAATTTTATCGAGATCGGTTCAGATTTGGATATGGCTCCCATATATATTTGCTTTTTATTGTGCACCAAAATTTTAATTTTTTCATTTTTTTTTAAATTTTATTTAATGAAAGCAAAAAATGTCGGAAATAGCATCAAATTTTAGAATAAGTTTAGATTTGTTCGAATTGGTCAATTTTGGACGAATTATGACCTTTAAACGGCCAATGAAACCGTCAAACGCTGTCCGAATGTTGCTCTGCGGTATTTTGGACCATTTCCGGCGATGCGCTTGCTTGAGCTGATCGACACTTTGGCATTTTTTAGTGCCTACCTTACTTTTCAAAATACTCCAGAAACAATAGTCCAACGGATTGGTATCCTTAGACTTTGGTGGCCATTGTTCGCTGGAAATGAAGCGAGGAACTTAATTTTGTAACTATTCTTGGGTGGCGCGTGCTGGGTGCGATGGTGCTGAGTCCTGTGGGAATGTCCAAGGTCTGTGGCCAAAATGTTTGCGTGCCCAAGGCTTTAATACACCCTTCAGAATATTTTCGCGATTATACTCAGCATTTATTCTGATGCCACGGTCGATTAATACGAGCGGAGAGCAACCATCGGCTGTTATGGCGGCCCACACCATCACCATGGCCGGCGCTTGAGTTCTGGTGGCTAACCGAAGGTGATTTTCAGGTGACCTGATTTTCAGGTGACTCTTTAGCTCTTTTGGTCTGTTTTCTTTCTGTTGCGGTGTGCACTTTTTGGAATTTCAATGGCTCATTTTTAAATATTTGCCGAATGTAATATTGCGATATGTTCTGTTCACGAGCCATTTTTCAAGTAGCTTCTTTACTTTTCGAACCATTTCTGCTAATGTTGCCATTTTCTTTCGTCCACTTCCTTGTCGTCGGGCTACGCTACCAGTATTACGGCAACGAGCGATGGTACGAGACACAAAAAATTTATTTACATTTAAATGCTGGAGTGCTCTAACGATAGCCACTTGTGGTTTTCCAGCCAAATGTAAAGAAATCACACTATTACGCTCGAATTCCATCAGGAATAACTTTTTTTCTGGAAAATTCTCCACAAAAATGCTTTTGAAGGCTTTTAAACAATATAATGAGCTGTCACTGGAATAATTTTAACAGCTGTCGGACGAGTGCTTAGAAATGACAGCAGTCTGAAGTTGATTGCAGTTTTTTCATCTTACCTGTTCATCCGATTTATTATATGAAGCTCTACCAAATATGCATAGGAGTGTAGGGGATCATAAAATCGACTCCGCCCGACATTTAGACTTTCTTTACTGGTTTACCTATGCTATTTTGCGCCATTTAAGAAATTCATTTTGCAAATTTTATCAAGTTATCCAATTCGACATTTGAACAACACACAGTCTTTTGCATTACAGACTATTGTTCGGGATATATCACTCAATATTTTCCCACAGTTTGCTTTATTTCCTTTAATACTTCTTTCTCACCCATTCCTGATTAAATAATCTAATTTCAACATTTAATTTTTCAGGACTCTGTGTTATTCCACGATACCATCAAACACAATATTCATTATGGCAATTTGAGTAAGAGTCAGGAAGATGTTGAAAATGCAGCACGCATGGCCGATTTGCATGACAACATTATGGGTTGGCCCAAGAAGTATCAAACGCAGGTGGGTGAACGTGGTCTAAAACTTTCTGGTGGCGAAAAACAACGGGTAGCCATCGCCAGAGCCATATTGAAAAATTCACCAATATTGATATTTGATGAAGCCACCAGCAGTTTAGATTCCATTACAGAACATGTAAGCAAATTGAATTCTCTTGTCATATAGCCTATAATTTATATTTTTCCATAAAATTTCTAGAATATTCTGCAAGCCTTGGCGAGAGCCACGAAAGGTCGTACCAGCATATGTATTGCCCATCGTTTATCCACTGTCATGGATGCTGATGAGATTTTGGTATTGGAAAATGGTCAGGTCGGTGAGCGTGGCACTCATGCTGAGTTGCTTAAGAAAAATGGTCTCTATGCTCGGCTCTGGGAAACACAGACACAACAATTTTGATTCGAAACAAAAGGTTAGGTGTTGAAAAATATCTAATTGTAAATAGATATGTTACAAAAACAAAGTTACTGCCTTTTGTTTTAGTCATAAATGTTATGCAGAATGTGTTTTTATTAGTATTAAGTGTTTTTGTTTCTCTGGTTTAATTTGTAATTTAGTTGTAATTGTACCAACGACCATAAGACGATAACCACAAAAAATTAAATATTTAAGATAATAGTAACGGTTGAATTCCTCCCTAGATAATAATGTATGTAACAAAGATTTTACCTGTTAAGTACATTTTGTGTATATACAACAAAGAAAATGGAAAAAACGTCACCTTCCTCCCAAATAAATGAAAAAAAGTAAAAAAATATTCTTTTTATTTTTTCTTTATTGTAAATATATAAAATGCATACATTAAATTGTTTGTATATCACTCATCTCTTTATTTATATTTATAGGATATTTATGTATATAGGTAATTACAAAAATTGGTTTAGGAATGTAAGTAGTTAAATTGTTCTTTATAAGTTTACTCTTGGCACGTATAATATATCTAAAATATAATATTTATAAAAAAAGAGTATTAAAAAATTAACAAATTAAATAATCATCTAAAGATAAACTAAAAATATTTGATAAATACATTATCAACAATATTAAGAGGTCTTAATTTCCTTTTTTAATTGAGAATCAATCAGTTATTGTGTATACAGGGTGAGATGAAATAACTGCCACCAACCAAGATGAAATAACAGCCTGCTGTCATTTCTAAGCCACTTGTCCGAAAGCTATTAAAATTATTCCAGTGACAGCTCATTATATTGTTTACAAGCGTACAAATGCATTTTAGTAAGAATTTTCTAGAAAAAAAAGTTATTCGTGGTAGAATTCAAGTGTGATATTGTGGTTTCCTTGTATTTGGCTGGAAAACCACAAGTGGTTATCGTTAGAGCACTCCAGCATTTAAATGTGAATAAATCTTTCGTGTCTCGCACCATCGTTCGTTACCATGATGTGGACGGAAGAAAACCGCAACATCAGCAGAAATGGTTGGACAAGTAAAGAAGCGACTTGATCCAGACCCGCGTCGCAGTGGCCGAAAAATGGCTGGTGAGCTGAACATATCGCAATATTCCATTCGGTGAATATTGAAAAATGAGCTCGGGGTAAAGTCATTGAAATTCCAAAAAGTGACAGAAAGAAAATGGACTCAAAAGAGCAAAAGTGTTGCTTCGCTTGGCCGAGAGTGGTGAACTGCCGAATTTGGTTTTCTCCGATGAGAAAACATTCGTTGTCCAGCAGTTTGTAAACAAACAAAATGATCGTGTTTACTTGCCAAAGAGGTCAGCTGAAAATGTGAACCTTCGTTTGGCCACCAGAACTCAAGCGCCGGCCATGGTGATGGTGTGGGCCATAACCGCATAACAGCCGATGGTCGCTCTCCGCTCGTATTAATCGACCGTGGCATCAGAATAAATGCCGAATATTCTGGAGGGTGTATTAAAGCCTTGTGCACGCAAACGTTTTGGCCGCAGACCTTGGACATTCCAACAGGACTCAGCACAATCGCACTCGCCTCGCACACGCACCCAAAAATGAGGTTCCTCGCTTAATTTCCAGCGCACAATGGCCACCAAAATCTACGCACACCAATCCGTTGGACTATTTTGTCTGGAGTATTTTGGAAAGCAAGGTTGATACTAAAAAATACCAAAGTGTCGATCAACTCAAGCAAGCGCTTCACAGGGAATGGGCCGAAATTCCGCAGAGCAACATTCGAGCAGCGTGTGACGGTTTCATTTTCCGTTTGAAGGCCATAATTAGTTTCAAAGATGACCAATTCAAACAAATCTAAACTTATTCTAAAGTTTGATGCTATTTCCGACATTTTTTGTTTTCATTGAATGAAATTAAAAAAATGTAAAAATTATGGCGTTTGACTTTGTTGCAGTTATTTTTATCTCACCCTGTACATTATTAAGAATGTATTTAAGTTTATATTAACAGGTCTAAATTCCTTTCAATCAGCTTTTTTGTACATATAATGATCAAATTAATCTTCTGTTCCAGAATCTGCAAAATTCTAAAATTTTTGCAAAGGGAAAATCGGTTATCGTAGTAAAAAGTTGAACATTCTTGTAGTTCTAGAACAGACCATTAATTGATTGTGGAGTTTGTCATACATAAGGGCTCACATATATACTTTTAAATTCTCCTTTTCAATAACCGAAATATAAATTAATTAATTTTCAAAATAACATTGATTCATTTCAAGAACGCTTTCTAGGGAAAGATTTTTTAATTTGTCATTTTTCAACACCTTTAAAATCATCAAACTATTCATTTCTAATACACTTATCAGTTTCATGTATCTTTTCAATACAAAATTGTCCATTTAAAAATATTTATTTTTATTATAAATGCAATTAATCCTTATCTCGTATTTTCATAGGAATCGGCACCCCGTATAACAAATATAGTATGCAATTACCCATATGTTGTAGGAAACGTTTGTAATTCTCTACTCTTGTCTTAAATTCTTGCCACAATGGCAGCAATGGTTTTTCTTTTGTTGTATTGTCGATGATAATGTTCTCCTGTTCCATGGTCTTGTTGACATAGGTATAGAGATAACAGGAAGGTTTCATACCTATTGTTGTTATGTGATGCATAACTCCGACGGGTAGACCAATACTTTTGCCTGCTGTCAAAAAATACGATTCATTGTCACTTTCACTTTTGTAACGGACATGACCCTCCAGTATGGTCAACGAAACATTTGTCAAATCCGGCGATATAAAGTGATCCAATGTTAGGCCTGGAAAATCAGCAACAAACATAACATCTGAGTAGTTATTCCATGACAAAACATCATCGGCTATGTTACGCAATCGTGGACGCATATGATTTAATTCGGTTAGCAAAGGCAGAGACCAGGGAGTTCTTTTAAATACCGACCAATCGGCTGTTAATAAATCCACTCTGGGATCAAACACACGCTGTTGGAATCGACCATTCATTGAACACCAAACATCAATGTATATGGAAATATTTGTGGAACTCAAAGGGCTACCACGTGGATTACGCTGATGCTCATAGTCGATATTACGTTTTATACATTTGGCATACTGTTGCGCCATATCGGCATATTTCATCCAGCGATCATATTCCGTAAAGGCATAAGGATTTAAATAATGTGTTTTATTATTGGAATTATCCACAACCTTAATTGTGGTCATTATGGTATTGTACGAGTGGACCATCATATCCCAGGAGTAGCCATACAGGCCATTGGTCCAATTGTTATAACCCTTAGTAATGAAATGGGAATAGGGTAAAAATAGCTGTAATGCACAGTAAAACAGAACAAAAAATGTTTGTAAATATTCTGTTTTGTTGCATTTGTTGTTTATGTTCAATTGTTTCTGACAGCCTTTGCAATAAAAAATGGGATTTTCAGATTTATCTTTGATTTCTTGTATTTGGTTTGTGGCCTTTTGGGATCCATTCATTTTGGCTTTCTTTTCATCTTCATTTTGTAATTTGTCCTTTTTCATCAACTTTTTGTAGAATTTATTGAAATTTTCTCTATTCAGCTTTCTCGGCCAATCAAAACCGAAAAACATTGGCACTTGGGCTAGGCAAACCCATGGGAACATACCTGCAGGAAAAAAACAGAGGAATTAAATTATGGATACATGTGAATAAAAGTATAAGAATAAGGTTAAGCTAAATTTTGAAAACATGGACCAACACGTATAGTATACCTTAATTCAAAAAGCCGAATTTGAAGGTTTCTAATATAAAAAAGACCTATTGAGGATATAAGAACCCTTTAAGCAAGTTTGAAACGTTGGGTTGTAAATTAATTAAATGGGCGCCTGTTGTAGGTGAAATCTAAAAGGTTCCAAAGATACAAGAGGGATTTTCCCAACATCTTAACGCTGTTTCAAAGCCAAATTTGAAAACTTGGACTAACGACTACATGATTGGGTGCCAGTATACCTTAATTCAAGAAAGCCACAGTTGAAGATTCCCCTCCTAAGTTTCAAGTGTTGGGTCGTAAATCACATGTTTTGGGCGCCAGCTGTATTTGAAATTTAGAAGTTAGATGTAAAATACTCCTAAACTAAAATAGGAAGTTTCCAAAGTTATATTCCACAGATGCTTATTCGTGACGGAATTCAAGCGTGATAGTGTGATTTCTTTATATTTGGCTGGAAAACCACAACTGGCTATGGTTAGAGCACTCCAGAATTTAAACGTGAATAAATCTTTTGTGTCTCGTCAGGATGTGGACGGAAGATAACACCAACAGAAATGGTTCGAAAGTAAAAAAGCTACTTGATCGAAACCCGCGTCGCAGTGGCCGAAAAAGGGCTCGTGAGTTGAACATATCGCAATATTCCATTCGGCAAATATTAAAAAATAAGCTCGGGGTAAAGCCATTGAAATTCCAAAAAGTGCAAGAACTTACACCGCAACAGAAAAAACAGACTCAAAAAAGCTAAAGAGTTGCTTCGCTTGGCCGAAAGTGGTGAACTGCCGATGAGAAAACATTCGTTGTCCAGCAGTTTGTAGACAAACAAAATGATCGTGTTTTTTGCCAAAGAGGTCAGCTGAAAATGTGCACTTTCGGTTGGCCACCAGAACTCAAACGCCGGCCATGGTGATGGTGTGAGCTGCCATAACAGCTGATGGTCGCTCTCCGCTCGTATTAAACGACTGTGGCATCAGAATAAATGCCGAATATTATCGCGAAAATATTCAGGAGGGTGCATTAAAGCTTTGAGCACGCAGTTTTTTTATCTCACAGCCGTTTAATGCCTTTTTTAAAGGTATCATTTACCCTCGGCCAAGTTTGAAACATTGGGGTGACAAATACATGTTTGGGCGCCAGTCGTGCGGGAAATTTCAAAACCAGAAGTCGATGATCCCTAATATAAAACATTTAGTTTCCCAAGTTATATTCAAAGGCCTACCTTCCCTTCAGTTTGATACATTAGGCCGGCAATTATGATTGGGCGCCAATACAGATATTAAGAAAAAATAAATCGAATATCCCTAAAATAAAACAGAGGGTTCCCACGACCGCTTGACGCCGTTGAGGGTATAATGTCCTCTATAGATTGTACATGTCAAGTCCTGTGGAGAGAATTATGAGTTCTTCAATATATACGAAACTATTTAACCTCAATCCTTAACAAAATTAATACCATTAAGACAACACAGATATCGTCACGCATACAAGTGAGATCATTCCATTGCATTCGTATAAAAATTTCGATTTGACATTTTAAATAATAAATTTATATCGAACATAAAACCTAATCTCACAATTTTATATCAAACTTGACATTTTGAAATTATCGAAAGAAAAAAATTACAAAATAAATTCAAAATAATTAAAGCAATTACACAACTTACCAATTACAAACAGCCGGGAATTCATCAAATGAAAACTGACCATAAATGGTGTGGCCAACAGGCGTGTCTTGCTGCAAGTCATGAAAAACGCAATACTAAAATCAAATATCGCCGTAAACCAATGGACAATTAACAAGTCGGCCAAATCCTCCGATAATATCCAACGAAATGGACTCAAGACCCAATGACGACTCAGCGAAGACATTGCATAGCCCGACAGCCATTCGGCGGTAAGTTTTTTCATGCCCGCATACATGTAGAGTAGGAAAAATTGAAATTTAATGAGAAAATAATTCCAATATGGCACCGTGGATGGCATTGCAGGGTTCAGGTACTTATCCAAAGAACTGGAAAGGAAATGAGAAGTAAATGCAATTAATTTCTCGTCTCGAATATATTGCATTCATACTTACCAATAACGATTGGCCTGACTAAAGAGCAGCAATATTCCGACCAATCCAAACAAATAACTGTGATTATTCCATGCTGGCTTATCCAAAAGGAAAATATACCAATAGGGTATTACAAAGGCCAAACAGCTGAGACGAAAACGATAACCCAACATTATGCCAATGGCGCCCAACCACATACACAAGTAAATGCAACCCATAATGGGAAAACTGAACACCTGTATGCTATCGAATAGGGGAAAATGACAATGTAGTGGTTCACCAAATCGTACATCTAAGTTGCCACCACCCCGCTCCTCGGCCATGTCAATTAGCATTGCAGCGCCTTTAAATACAATGCATTACGATTATAATCGAAATTTAAAGATTGTATTCTCCCTATAACTTACCATAGAACATACGAAATACCCCCAGCGTAGCTGCATCTACTGGCCGTTGTAACCATTTTCTAAAATTACCATATGTTTGGAAAGTCTCAACCTCGTAATCAGTCAAATATTTAAATATTCTTTCTACCGCACTATTATTAACTTCCTTTTCGGAGACTAATTGTTTGATTCTAGGTTTAATGGAAGCCTCTTTGGATTTTTTACATTGTTTTATTGTAGTTTCTTTTTGGGTTTCTTTTGAGTCTTTTACAGTTTCCGGATCTTCAGATTCGGTTTTAGTTTCGAGTTGATGCTCAGTTTCATTGGAATTTCCTAGTATTTCACTTGCAGTTTTTAGAGTATCTAAGGTTTTCTCTTTTTCACTTTCCATATTATCCGTGTTTTATTCTGGAATGTAAGAGAAAAATTAAAAGAACATAAAAAAAACGTCAGTTTTTGCCGACTGAAACACACCACGCTGTTCAAAGAGGTGGAGAAAAACGACCCTCTGCAAGATTAGAAAATGTTGGATAAATAATTTTCCGTAGTCCAAAGTCCAAACCTTGTAGAGTGATCTAGAAAGTTCCCGAGGTGAGGTCAAATGTCTGGGTATATTAAGTTTGTCATTCCATTTGTAACACCTCGAAATATACATTTTAGACCCCACAAAGTATATATATTCTTGATCATCATAAAATTCTATGTCGATTTAGCGATGTCCGTCCGTCTGTGGAAATCATTCTAGCTTCCGAGCGAATTGAAGTAGATTGATAAAATTTAACTGAAATGTATATTATGTCTGCAGGACTTTTGGTATTGAAAATGGGCCATGTAGGTCCACGATTTGGTATACCCCCATAAAGGTACCTCCCTATATTTGGTATTTAGATGATTTTTGACAATATTTATCGGAATTGTTTCAAATTTGCTATTTGAAGTTCGAAATGGATGCTACAGCCTTAGACAGAAAATTTTTTGTGCAGGTCCACGTCTTCGTATAGACCCCATATAACGGTACCTCCGGATATTCGGTTCTTTGTTGATCAACGGAATTCTTTCAAATTTGGTATTTGAAGTTTGAAATGAATACTACAGCCTATGACAGAAAATTGTCTTTGCAGGTCCACGTCTTCGTATAGCCCCCATATAACGGTACCCCCCGATATTCGGTATTTTGATGATTTTAGCGATATTATTCACCGGAGTGGTTTCAAATTTCGTATTTAGATTTCGTAATGGGTACTACATACTACGACAAAAAATTGTCTATGCAGGCCCACGACTTCGTATAGCCCACATTTGACGGTACCACCCGACATTTGATTTTTTGACGATTTTAGGGACATTATTCACCGGAGTTGTTTCAAATTTCGTATTTAGAGTTCGTAATGGGAATTACAGTCTATGATAGAAAATGGTTTGTGTTGGTCCATATCTTCGTATAGCCCCGATATAACGGTACCTCCTATATTCGGTATTTTGACGATTTTAGCTACATTATTCGCCGGATTTTTTCACGTTTCGTATTTTAATATTGTAATGGCTTATGACAAAAGTTGTCTATGCAGGTCCACGTCTTCGTATAGTCCCCAATATAACGGTATTTTTAAAATTTTTAGAGAATTTTTAACGGTTTTTTTTTTAAATTTCCAAGTTTGTTCCAAATAGTGGAGGGTCTTCAAAGTTCGGCCCAAAGTTTTTAATAAAGCAAATTATTAAAATAAATATATAAATTATGTTTTAACACTGATTTGTAGATAATTTAAAAAAAGCTTAGAGAAATTGGACTGGTGGCCAAGTTCTTGCTGTTGAACAGGTCTGATCTGAATAGTATACACACTAATAGCGCATTTGTATCATTGACATCGACCAGTTTCGTTGTCCTAAAAAGAAATCATTTAAGAGAAAACAAAAATTAACCCACATTAACCCAATGGGTTAATTTTCTATAGTATGAACGTGCTATAATACAGTCCACGAGACATGGTAGAAGAATATAGGTAGACGCGTCGACACAGCTGCTGGGACAACGAACTGTCAAACCAATTTTGGAATTGAAAATGTTGAATGAAAAATTATTTAAATTTGTTAAAATTGTTGAAAAACGTGAATTATAATAGCCTCCGCATGACGTAGTATAAGAAAACATATAAAAATCTACTTATATTTGAAAAAACATTTAAATTTTTTGACATATCAATGCTCCCAAGCGTTGATGCATCTACCTGTATTCTTCTGCCATGCCAATACAGTTCATAGATTAACGCAATAGTAATAGCGACTTCGGAGTCAACTCCAAATCATTACAGATAAATATCTGTCTCTCTCTCTCTCTCTCTCTCTCTCTCTATACAAATATCTCTTAGATCACCAGATCTTCTAAAAGCTTTAAGATCGTCAAAATAAGACCTAAAATACCTTAAAATCTCCGGTTACTTTTTCAATAATACTCAGTCATCATCCCTTTTTGAAGAAAACAAAAACATCACACTATTTTGTGTTTTATTTCAAGAAATTTTATTTTGTTTGGTTTTCTTTAAAAATTTGATATAAATACATGCATGCATTACTTTTTGTTCTGTTCTGTTTTGCTTGGTTTTTATTTCTTGTTTACCATTCCCTTTGTTTTTTGTATACTAAATATTTAAATTGTTGTTCTTGTCGGTTTATTTGTGAATATTATTGCGTGTTTTCATTGAATTATGAAGAAGAGGTTAGAGAAAATCTCAATGGAAAAGTGGAAATAATTAAATTTAATTCGTATAAAGGTAAGTTGAGGTCCCAAATTGTTGGGTTGAAAATTCGAAATCATTAGAAATTCATTCCCTTTTCCATTTATTTTGCGGGAAAGAAATCTACTGCCTTTATACGAATAATTATTTAATTGTTTTTATGGATTGTTTCATTTTTGCCGTTATTGTTTTGCATTATTGTTTGTATTTTCCATATTTTTTGTTTGTTTTATTTTTTTAGTATTTTATTTTTATTTTTGAAAATCTCTAAAATCGTTTACGACGACAAGCATTTGGAAAAAATTTGCTTCAAACTACATTTTGGTTTTGGATAATATTTTAAAATGACAATAAATTGTTAATAGTTGTTTTTTAAGGATCATTTCTAATACGACAATTGTTTTCTTGTGAATATTATTCTATTTTCTGTTTTTTTTTTTTCTGGTGATATTTTGAAAAAGAAATAAGAAATTTAGAGTTTTATAAAAAGAAGACAAATAAAAAAGGAATGTTTTTATTTTGGGAAATAAATAAAATTTTTATTTTTTAAAAAATAAATAGAAAATTTCCAATTTATTAATTGTTTTAAGAGAAGGAATTAATTTTTTTCTTTCGTTTAAATTGTGAATTGTTTTGTATAGAAGAAATACATATACATATAAATATAATTGAGAATACAAATAAGAATACTATTAAACATGTATGTGGGTGTAAAGTAATAATACATTTTTCAAAATACATTCAAGATTTTCATACATTTATGTAATTATTTTAGTATAATCATTTATATTTTTTGATTATTTTCAATATTCAATTTTAAATTTACTTTCACCTTTGTTGGGGGGAATATACTTAAAGATAATCTTTGGAAATATTTGAAATAGAAATAGTATAATATATACGATTAAATATGTATGTATGTCTTTAAAGTCATTATTATTCATCATCATCATTATAATGTTATATATACGCCAGTTGTGCCCATTATCCTTTTCTCACCCCCTGGGTTATATTCGAAATTTTCTTTTGGCAAATTTGAAAGTAACCCTTTTGGGGGAGTTGAAGAGTTGAGGCGAACCGGCTTCAACTACAGTAAAAATTGTATCTTTTTTTAGTTTGGTTTTATGAGGGGGGAGATTTCTTTCGTTACTTTTAAAAATGTTTGCTTTTGTTAAGTACCTATTACGGTTTGTAATTTTACGACAAATATATGTATGTGTGTAATTCAAATTTCTAATATTTTTATACTTTTGGAAATTTCATTATTTTGTTTGGTTTTGGTTTGCCTTCATTCATTGATTTCTCAAATATTAGTGGTAGTAGTAATGGTGAGTTTTCTGTTATAAATTTCTAAAATATTTAAAGTTATGTTTGTTTATCTGCTGTGTTTTTTGTTTGTAATAATGTTTTTTTCTTTTTATGAAATACAATACTCTTTTTTCATCATTATGTTTAATTAAGCTTTTTTGGAATTGTGTTGAAAATTTATTAGTTCTTGTTGTTAGATTTGTTGTTTTAAGCAAATTCTCAATTACATTTGGTTTTCAATTGCAAAAATTTGAAAATTTTTGAAATATATAGATATATATGTATGTTAATTTATATAAAAGTAAATGTATGTATATGCAATACGAAGTCATCAGAAAAGGGGGAAACACATTGATTTGTATGTAGATTGGGGGAAAACGCGTAAAAAATTCTAGAAAAATTGCAAATACTTTGCTGCTGGTGTTGTAGTTTGTTCATTGCCTTGGCATGGTGGTGCATACTTTAGGGGGTTTCCGATATTTTTCTGTTATTTTGTCGGTATCCACTTCTTGCAAAACTACTCTCCAATATATTTCTCTTTTCTCAATAGTTTCTTTCTTGTTCATAAACATGTTCTCTCTTCATAAACACTCTCCGCCTCTCACTTGTTGTGAGATACACATTCTCGTCAGTTGGCATTCTTTGTTTACAATTGTATGTATTCTTTCTCTCTCTCTCTCGAAATCCACCCCCCATTGAGTAGATAAAAGCACCCTTAAATAAAAACAAAACTTCGAAATCAGCAGCTCCTCTTCCAGGTGTCCCATAAACGCCATAAACATCCACTTCTCCAGCAATTATTTTCACGCCTTCCCTTTCACTTTGTCGGATCCCCTCGGTCTGTCTTTGCATTGCACACCATCATTCTTTTATACCTCCCTCCATCTTCTCTCAGCTAGACTGACTGACTGGTTTATATTAATTTTTTATTTTCATTTTGAGAAATTTCACAATTTTTCTTCCCTTAAATTCGATTTTGATTCAATTGGGAACGTGGTGTAAATGGTGAGACCATAACACCACTGGGCCAAATAGCCTCGTTGAACAGTTCATTGAAGCGATAATCCGGTATGGAAATCTTGAATTTACAATAGGACAAGGCAGCTAAATTGGCATCATTTTTCACCAATTTGGTGCATTTCACCAGATTCTTGTTCATTTTCAACTCCTCGGCCAAGTGTTCAATGATGTCGTCCTCAGTGGTGGAGGTGGCAAATTTACCCACCTGCACCCAACGGCCGTAGTCGCAGACGACCTGCAAACGATCCGAATTGCAGTTGTTGCCGACGACAATCAAACTGTTGGTCTGCTTTTTCACGTCGTTGGCATTGTTGGTGTTCGGTCCCATTTGGAAATACTGTTGGTACATACGACCCTGTATCTGGTTGACCCCATTCACCAACTTGTTCAGCTTATCCTCCATGGCCTGCAGTTTGGTGGCCATGGCTTTGGGCGACTGTTGGCGACAATCGTCACAGCTGAAGACGATCATGGGGTTCTTTTGTATGGCCTCATACAGAGCGTCGTCGATGTTCACACAGGTGCGGTGGAACTTCTTTTGGCAAGCACAGGTGATGCCCTCCTTGGCGTTGATGGCCTTTTTGCACTTGACGCAGTTGTCAGCCATTTTTGGTCGTCGGTTGTTGCCGCCGGTGCCCGCTGCAGTCTTGTTTGCTGCTTTCGGTGTTGTCGCTTGGACGGGTGATTCAGCCGACCCTGAGTTGTTGGCTGCTGTTTGAGCGTCCGAGGAGTTTTCTGCCTTTGGGGATTCCACTTTTAATGATTAATTACTCACAAAGGAGTCAAAATTTGGCCTCAAGAAAAATTCCAAAATCGGTTACAACTTAACACCCGAAATTTTTTGCTTCACTTCTGAGCTGATATTTCACACAGAGAAATCGTAGGACCGAAAAACAGCACACGGATTGGATAATTTTCCAGCGCTGGACTATTTCTGCCACAAATCTCTAAAAAACACACACCTACCTCCTGGTTGGTTGGTGGGCTGGTGAGTACTTTGCCGTCGTCGTGGTCGTCGAATTGCACAAATACGAAATTTGTTTTTGCTTTTTGTTGCTGTTGGCTTGCTTTGTTTCTATGGATGTAACAACGTTTGTGTGTCTCGTCGTCGTCGCCGCGTTACCTCCACTGGATACATACACAATGTATGGATGAGAAGTTCTTTGGTTTCTGCTGTTTTTGTTGCTGTTGTTGTTGGTATTATATTCAAAATGTCTAAATTTTTGGGGTGTTATAAGAAATGAGAAGTGAGGGAGAATTGAATTGAAATTATTTAAAGAAGAATTGCCGCTTCCGCCAAACTAGATTTTTATGATCCGTACGCTCCGAATGCCGCTGTTCAACTGTGCTCCGTAACCGGCTGTTGGCTCAAGCATTGGCTGTAGTCATATCGACCGGCAGACCGGTCATGCGAACTGGAACAGAGAGTGCAAAAACAACCCCTATGGCGGGGCGGCTTTTGTTACTGTCGACGGTGGTGGTAGCGGTGGTGATGGCGCTGGTCTTTATGTTAATATGGCCTTTAGTATCTTGGTCCTACAAATCAACTCTCTTTTGCACGTATGTATGTACATAGGTACTGTGGTAATACTCTATGGGATAGCCAACTTTATTCCACGCATACATTTAACCACTTGGATACAGTGGTAGCAAGGATATTGGTTCGGTAATATATGATAACATGTGATTTTTTAAACAAATTATTCTTTTTTCGGTCTCTTTTTAAAATAGGGTGGGAAAAACTAAAATGTCCCTGAAAGAAGGGCTCTTATTCCCGATTATTGTAAATATTTGCCTGGAATTCTTACGAATCATGTAATTTAAGGTACGTTGGATATATTATTTAAGGCTCGATTGCATTAAATCAATGTTTTTATACTTAAAAGCGTTTCTTTTTAGATTAAATATTCCGGATAGCGTCTAAAAGTAGACTTCAAAAGTGCTGCAGATACTTGTGAAAAAGTCACTCCAACATCATGTGTAATCTAGCCTTTAAGGCCCTATTTTACATATGTTTGAGGTCACTGTTTGTTATAGAATAGTTTTAGATAGAAAAATTGGATGTGGGTCTAATGTGCGATGGTTTTATCAATATCCTTCTCGGCAAACTTCAAAATGGAAGATTTTGTAAATGCTAAGCATTTTCCTATTATTCTCTTCAAACAAGAAAAAAAGGAAATAAGAAGTTTTGATTTAAAAATTTTGTCAAACTGAAAAAAATGTACATTTTGAGTACTCGAACTGTTGGAACGAATTTAACATTGTAGCTATACTAGCACTAGTTTTAAATAAAATACAAAATGTCTGTTTAAATTACTTTCTAGTTGCTTTAAATAGTAAAACAAATATTTTTAAATTGTCGAGGTATTTAAGAGCTTCTTCTATTTCGCTATCTGCATTTTCGACTTTCAACTGTCATTCTCGGTATTTACCTGCAGGGTGAGATGAAAAACTTCAACCAACTTCAGATTGATACTGGTAGCGTAGCCCGACGTCAAGGAAGTGGACGGAAGAAAACAGCAACATCAGCAGAAATGGTTCGAAAAGTAAAGATGCGACTTGATCGAAACCCGCGTCGCAGTGGCCGAAAAATGGCTCGGGAGCTGAACATATCGCAATATTCCATTCGGCAAATATTGAAAAATGAGCTCGTGGTAAAGCCATTAAAATTCCAAAAAGTGCAAGAACTTACACCGCTACAGAAAGAAAATAGACTCAAAAAAGCTAAAGAGTTGCTTCGCTTGGCCTAAAGTGGTGAACTGCCGAATTTGGGTTTCTCTGATAGGAAAACATTCGTTGTCCACATACTGCTGGACAAACAAAATGATCGTGTTTACTTGCCAAAGAGGTCAGCTGAACTCCAGAACTCAAGCGCCGACCATGGTGATGATCGCTCTCCGCTCGTAATAATCGACCATGACATCAGAATAAATGCCGAATATTATCGCGAAAAAATACCAAAGTGCCGATCAACTCAAGCAAGCGCTTTGCCGGGAATGGGCCAAAATTCCGCAGAGCAAATTTCGGGCAGCGTGTGACGGTTTCATTGGCCGTTTGAAGGCCATAATTCGTGCCAAAGGTGATCAATTCGAACAAATCTAAACGTATTCTAAAATTTGATGCTATTTCCGACATTTTTTGCTTTAAGTTAATAAAATTTAAAAAAAAAATGTAAAAATTATGGCGTTTGACTTTATCTCCCCCTGCATGAAACTGCGACAGTGAAACTTAAAAAATAGGATAATTTCTTGATCAAGTGGCTGGCATAATGAAATTGTATTTGAAGGTAACCATAGCATTTTTATGTTCCCTAACTCAATTTCGAGAGGATGAGATGCCAGATTAAAGAATAGAGCTATCTTTCGCTTCTTGTTCCATATTTTACGATCTACGATCGATTTCCAAACTACTGGCAAGTCAGCGGCAGAAATTTGCTCGAAGTCGATCTGATTTTCCCATAACCAAAGGCATTTTCTTCTGGCCCGTCCACTATTCGTGCCAAAGGTGACCAATTCGAACAAATCTAATCTTATTCTAACATTTGATGCTATTTCCGATATTTTTTGCTTTCATTCAATAAAATTTAAAAAAAGTAAAAATTAATGCGTTTGACTTGTTGCAGTTTTTTTATATCACCCTGTACATCGTAAATACACATTTGGTATAGAAATAAGTAATTAACCTTTTTGCCTATTCTCGAACAGAAAGTTTATCTTTGTTTGATGATTCAATAATTTCCACTTTTTCTTTTAATGTTAAACACGTCCGTTTTTATATCATTTTCTGAAGTGAACCAATAACCTGAACAACCTGTAACTAAATGTAAATGCTGTACAAATAGCGTGGATCCCCCAAATACGATGTTGAATATCAGAGCCGAGGCGACCAAATTCATCGGCGTTCACAACTTATGATAACATACGCCGCCACTGTTATAAACAGTTTTACGTAAACTGCCAATTGTACGCTACACATATAGATTACATGGAAAAGGAATTAAAGGGCTAAGGGATTACAGAGCCGCACTAAAATCCAGCCGTCGTTTTCCATTATAATTTGACATTAATATGCCTAGCCATGACTTCAAGCTTCTTATGTACTTAGCCCTTAAGGTAGATGCATCAGTCCTTTTTAATTTTTTTTCAAAATTACTAAATTTGTTTATGTTTTTCTATGCGACGCCTATCGGAGGTTGTTATAGTATGAATTTTTTAACCATTTTTTCAAATTTCAATAATTTTTCCTTCAAAAATGTCAATTCTAAAATTTGTTTGGTACTTCATTGTCCCAACAGCTGCGTCGATGTCAATTTTTTCTTGTTTTAAAATCGTCATATTTTGTCTAAACAAAATAGTGTAAGTTAGTTAAGAGAGTATCCACAATGGGAGATTAAAAATGTCTATTTGAAGCTGTGACAGATTTTGACAGTTGTCCATTGAAGAGAGGTATCCGCATGAGTCAATGTTCACTGGGAGGTTTGACTGTATACGCTCAACTATAGCAAAAGTTTTTTTAGGGCATCTTATACTGAGTGGTTTTGTTTGAGAACGATATTGAGTTATATTCGGAAGTACCTAAATATGGAGGAGAGGTGCGTTTTGGTTCCATGACAAAAAGTGGGACACACAATTATTATCAGCTAAATCATTTCAAAAGTTAGATTCATTACCACAGAGTGGCTTGTGCTGATCGTATTCCAATTTTATTCTGATCGATAATATGTATTTCAGGTGCTCACAAATAGAGGAAAGCACAATTATTACACCTCTCATGCTATGTGTTGCCCATAAATTAATAATTTAAATAGAATACCCAAAAAAAAACCTCCATACCACTGTGTACTGTGTGTATGTAATCACAAGGGTTGCTTTTCGCAACTGTGATATAGAAAATGTCAGTACCCCTAAAGGCGACTTGTTTTCATCCACTTTGTATCAAATATGTTATTGTTGTTCTCTGAGTATTTTTTCTCAATTGACTGCGGCCTCTTTGTCATTACAATTTTATTCTCTTTTGGTCATGTGTTTTATTACGAATTATTTTCATTGTTTTTCACCTACAGCAACGTTGGAATACTTAATTTTCATCGCACAGAGGGTTAATGGTGTTCCCCCAAAACAAGTTTTCTATTTGCAATTTTCCAAATTTTCTAACAGATTTAATTTTTTTTCTCGTATATAGCTTTTAATTCTATTCACCAAAAGGGGTGATATTGGCGGCGGTGGTGGTGAATGTCATCGTAAGCCGGTGGCGGTGGTGCATTTTTTTCGGCACGCTCATCTGTCATTTTTGCCAGAGGGTGGTGGTTGCCTGGCTGACTGACTGAATGGCTGGTTGTTTGGTTGAATTGTGATAAGTGCTATCTACTTTTACATGTTTAGACAGCAGAATGTAGGGGGTGGGGTGGTTTTGTATTATAGGTATCTACATTGTATTCATATTTTGTATGTACCTACATTTACTTTGTAAATTTATGTCTGCGTAGATACTGGATGATAACCTTTTCCAAAAATAGAAAATATGTGATTTTTTTGCCATATATTACCATTTGTTTCAATAAATATAATTGTATGTTGGATTTATTGTAAGTTCCTTATGATAAATCCAACATACAATTATATTTATTGAAACAAATGGTAATATATGGCAAAAAATCACATATTTTCTATTTTTGGAAAAGGTTATCATCCAGTATCTACGCAGACATAAATTTATGTATACACTACATACGTCATCTTCGCGCTACATCTAAAGCACGAACTTTGAAGAAATCTGCGAAACAATTTCGCATTTTATGAGAGCTGTGATTATTAACAAATTTGGGCCCTTGTGGGAGGGATACCAGAAGGAGAGCACCAGGAACGTATGGTTATATTTTACAGGGAAAAAAAATATATTTTTTTGATAGCTGGGCCCCCGAAAGTGAACATCCCTGGATAACACCGACAAATCACATATTCTTGGGAGATCTAGTTTTGTCTCTATGGAATAGGAAAATATAATAGAAAATCGGGCACTAATTTTACATATTATGAGAGTTTTAGAATTGAAAATTTAGACATTTTCGGGGGATGGTACGAGAAGGTGTTCACTCTGCACCTGAGTCTGACTTAAATATTAGCATGTGCCAAGATTAAAAAACGTTGGTCTCTCGATTCTCTGACTATAAAATATTTTGTGGAAACGTTCCAGAACGTGTGGATTGACATATAATACATTGTCACAATTGCTTTAATATAGGCAAAAACATTGGGATATGTTTACTTTGAAAACAATCGATACTAAATTCGCATTTTATAAAAGTTATTTTATTACTAGCCTACTACTTAGTGAGCGAAAAGTCCAACTAAAAATGTTGAATTCATTCCAACAATTCGTTTTGGGACTTTTTAGTACTCAAAATACACAATTTGTTCACTTTTCGTACTAAATTTTCAGACCTCCAAGGTTTTATATATTATTCAAGTTTTCCCTCTTTTGGAAAGTATAATTGGAAAATGTTTACCTTTTACACCAACTAATCTTCAAATCTTTCATTTTAAAGATTGTAGAGCGCTTATTACTAAAACCATTGAAGAATGGACTCAAATGCAATTTTCTGTTCAAAGCTATTTCAAAATCTTTTCATAATAAAAAGTGCCCACCACCATATCTAAATCATAGAAAATAACATTGACCTTAGTATCGAATTTCAGGATTCAAGCTCTGTCCTTTCACTCAAAAGCAAATTTAATGTCATTTATTACTTTTTGAACAATCGTAGTACGCATTTCCAAATCCACCTCCTTTTGTCAAAGCTATATACTAACAGTGGCTTCCACGTCAAATTTAAGAATTCTAGTTCTATCCTAAAATCCAATCCCAAATTTATTACCATCCTTTTCATACCGATATACTACCCATGATCAAAACTACCTCCTTCTCTCTTCCCTAGATACCAACAGTAACCTCGGTACTAAATTTCAGAATTCCGTCTCAACACAACACCCATATGGCATTTTGCACCTTTCGTACGATAATAGTACGCATTTCCCAACCGCAGACACCAGCAAAGACCTCTACACAAATATCAAGATTCAAGTTCTATCCCTTTACCCAATATTAAATTTAATAATTTTTGTTCAATTATAGTATACATTTTCAAAATCACCTCCATAACTCAATCCCAGATACTAACAGTGACATCTATAGCAAATGTAAGGTTATTGAGCTCTATTCCTTCACCCGATACCAAATTTGGTACTATTTAGTACTTTTCGTACAAATATATGATTAATTTCTAAACTACCGCCAAATTTTAAACCATCAGTTATCTAAATGTCAAATTTCAAAATTTGATTTCAATACTTCTCGCACAATTATAATACACATTTCCGAAAGAATCTCCATATGCCCAGGCTACACATGAACAGCGACCCTAAGATAAAGTTTCATATTCTAATTTAGTACTCTTGCATTTGTAGTACCCATTTCCAAAACTAATCCTTTATCACAAACCTACCATATACAGGGAGCCTAATATAAAATTCCAAAATTCCAGCTCCATCCATTCACCCTTAACCAAACAATTCCAAATTTAGTACCATTTAGTTGGCACACTTTGTACACATTTCCAAAACTAGTTTCATATATCAAACTTACTGTCCAACCTTGATTCTCATACCACATTCCAAGTTTTTAACTCACATATTACCAAATGGTACCATTTTAGAACTTTTCGTAACCTTAAGGTTCGAATTTCCAAAAACTCTTTGGTACATCCATCCTGCACTCCATCAGTGAATATCATTCGGAATTTCAGAATTCTAGTTCTATTCATTTTGGTGTGGCTCTTTTGAGGCTCTTTAGAGTCCTTTAGCTCTTTTGAGTCTATTTTCTTTCTGTTGCGGTGTAAGTTCTTCCACTTTTTGGAATTTCAATGGATTTACCCTGAGCTCATTTTTCAATATTTGCCGAATGGCCACAGCGACGCGGGTTTCGATCAAGTCGCTTCTTTAATTTTCGACCCATTTCTGTTGATGTTGCTGTTTTCTTCCGATCACTTCCTTGACGTCGGGCTACGCTACCAGTATCACGGTAACGAGCAATGGTACGAGACACAAAAGATTTATTCACATTTAAATGCTGGAGTGCTCTAACGATAGCCACTTGTGGGTTTCCAGCCAAATATAAAGAAATCACACTATCACGCTTGAATTCCATCACGAATAACTTTGTTTTCTGGAAAATTCTCTCGAAAATGCTGCTGTACGCTTGTAAACAATAAAATGAACTGCCACTGGAATAATTTTAACAGCTGTCGGACGAATGGCTTCGAATTGACAGCAGTTGTTTGCAGTTTTTTCATCTCACCCTGTATATACAAGTCATTTATGGAAATTTGACCAAGTAAATTACAGATAAGAAATTACAGATAAGGAAGTTATTTTTTAACATGAGTTACTTTGAGTTATTTGCACCATGACACCTACAAAAAATTGATCCTAATCCCCCATTTACTTCTCGTAAAAATTCTATAAAACTTAAATGTAATGCTCGAATCGAGTATTAAGGTGTATAATAATAATTCAGAATGACCATAGACTGGGCACATATATTCTAGCTCGTTTGATGCATTGGTCCATTACGTTCAGTCTTATAGCTCTTTGAAAATCTTTCATATATTCTTAAAAATCTACCTTTATTTGGCGAATTTGTTTCTAATGCGCTAGGTGCAGACCTCATTGCTTGGTATACACTACAACTATATGTGCGTGGGACTTTCTTTTTTAAAATCATACGTATTATCTATAGTTGTCCACCAAACCACAGATCTTGGAATAGCCATAGAAATGTATTTTAGAATAGACAGGATACCATCTTGGAATTCTAACCCAACATAAGTAACTTTAAAATTGCTATCATCACTTCTCAAAAATAGCCACTGTCATGTCGATTTGGTAGTAACTTAACACTCTGCTAGTTCGAGGAAACCCGCCTCTCGAATATATTCATTCCAGTTTATAGTACAATGTTTTTCTTTTCTACATTTTCTTTCTTTTCCCATTTTCTTAGGACAATATTTCACATCATTTCAAGACACTTAATCTATTTCACTTAAACAATTGACCTGTTATCGAATCATTGTTGTCAATGTAAATTCTTTGCTCTGTGGAGTCTTTACATCGATTTAAAATGTTTAATTTTTACTTACCACTTCCTCTCCTTCAGTATTTCCTTACACTAACACTTCACACACAAAATATTTATAGAAAATTCTTAATTTTAATACAATTTCACTTAGCACTTTGTTGTTTTTTTTTTTTTTTGTTTTATTTGTATCACGTGTTGTTTTTATTCTGGAAAATTCGTTGCCATTCAAAAATAACACCAACCAATGCCAGCAATGAAAACAATAAACTATGTCTGTTTACAACTGAAGCTGGAACAATTTGGAATATGGCTTTTTATAGGATTACATGTCGACATCCCAATCTTGTGCGTTGGATGGATGTAAACAAAACGAAGTGGCACAATGGGTTGGAGTTTTCCAAGTAGAGGATATTTTAAATGTTAAAAGGTCGGTGTAGTAGCAGATATACAGGGTGAGATGAAAAAACTACAACCAACTACAGACTGCTGCCATTTCTCGACAGTCACTCGTTCGATAGTTGTTAAAATTATTCCAGTGACAGCTCATTATATTGTTTACAAGGGTACAAAAACATTTTGGTAAGAATTTACCAGAAAAAAAGTTATTCGTGATGGAATTCAAGCGTGATAGTGTGATTTCTTTATATTTGGCTGGAAAACCACAAGTGGCTACCGTTAGAGCACTCCAGCATTTAAATGTGAATACATCTTTTGTATTTCCTACCATCGTTCGTTACCGTGATACTGGTAGTGTAGCCCGACGTCAAGGAAGTGGACGGAAGAAAACAGGAATATCCGCAGAAATGGTTCGACTTGATCGAAACCCGCGAAAAATGGCTCGTGAGCTGAATATATCGCAATATTCCATTCGGCAAATATTGAAAAATGAGCTCGGGGTAAATCCAATGAAATTTTAAAAAGTGCAAGAACTTACACGACAGCGAAAAGAAAATATACTCAAAAGAGCTGAAGAGTTGCTTCGGTTGGCTTCCGTTAGACGATTGTGTCTGGAGTATTTTGGAAAGCAAGGTTTGCACTAAAATATATCAAAGTGTCGATCACCTCAAGCAAGGGCTTCGCCGGTAATGAGCCAAAATACCACAGAGAAACATTCGGGCTGCGTTTGACGGTTTCATTGGCCGTTTGAAGGCTATAATTCGTGCCAAAGGTGACCAATTCGAACAAATCTAAACTTTTTCTACATTTTTCTATTTTCGACATTTTTTGTTTTCATTCAAAAAAATTTTAATAATGTTAAAATTATGTCGTTTGACTTTGTTGTTCACTCTGTGATTTCTAATTTTTCAAACCCTACATAAACGACCCTACCCATGAATAGGGACCCTAATGACAAATTTCTGATTTCTGACTAAATCTAGTACCATTTAGTAATTTCTGTATAATTGTAGCTCCAAAACCAAGATCGTACTTATATCCGCTCATATGACTCCAATTGTACCAAATTAAGTGCATTTTAGTTCATTTGGTAAACTTATTGTTCGAATTACCAAACCCTCTTTAGTACGTATTTTCTACACAATATCAAAGACACGTATTTCAGATTTCCAGTTCAATCCTTCTCCTAAATACCAAATTCTATACAATTTGGTACTTTTTTTGAACGTATTTCCAAAACCACTTCTATATATCAACAAACCCCACCTAACTGATTTTGATACCAACATTTAGAATACCAACTATATTATTTCTTTATTTATTTCCATAAATACCAACTTGAGTACCATTTAGTACTTTTTAGAACTGTTTACATAATAACCTCCAAATATCAACTCACCGTGACTTCTGCATTTCGAAATTTTTTTGCTTTTGTTGGCGAGGTAGCATAAGGAGTAGACTAATATTGCCCATCTTCCAACTCGATGTAAGTTTGGAAAAATATATCAATGTACCCAATTTGGGCCAATTCAAATACTCTCTTCGGAAGTTATCGTTTCCATAGACAAATGTCTAGATCGACCAAAAATGTCCTGACACGGATTTTGTCCAAAGGAACATAGGGTCTAACTCCATTATTTTTATCAAGAAAAATTTTCCGTATCTCCCATAAGGATGTGTATATAATATGTTGAATTTCAACCCAATGTGCCGCAACGAAAATAATTCAACACATGATTTTGCCACATTTCGGTTATGCGCATGTCATCTTCCAGATGATGTGGAAACTTCTTTATTTTGTGATTTTTAAAAGGTTGCACTTGATTCAAGGGAAAGACATCTCAAAATTCCTTAATGAGTAGTTGTCCTACATTTTGGTTTTTTTGCTGTTTTGGTATGAAGGTATTGTAAATAAGGAAGTTGTGGGTTGCATAGGCTATTTCTGGTTTTAAGGGTTCGTTAATCGTTTTTATCCTTTTGATGTTGAATTTAATCAAAACAAACGCCTTGTTATTGAACAAATATTTACACAGTCTATGTTGGCGACAGCAATGACGACGTGGACGACAGGTAGATGTTTGGCGCCACATGTTCAATGCTTGTGGATTTAATGTGCGATGTAATGCCATACGTACGCATTAACAATTCAAATGTTTAAGGATACAGTGTTCTAATAAACAAAAAATAATACTGAAAACATGAAAAATAACGACATTGGAATATATATGATTTCTAAAGTGGGTTGGTTGGTATAAGGGCAAAATTAGGCCCATATTCTGTCATTTAATATCGAAAAAAATGATGAATTTTTTTAATATATCTGTCTTAAAAGCCAAATGTTGAATTTAAAAACATTTTGTTGTTGCAAAATGGTCAGACTTAATCCCATTTTTTACCCAAAAATTTTTTTTGTCATAGAAGTTATTTTTGTTTTGTTTTTATAAAAACAACAACAAAGAGATTAAGCCTGACCATTTTGTAACAACAAAATACGATGGTATCCCGAACAAACAAGCCAACACTGTTCTAAAAACAATATTTTTATCACATCATAGCATACACAAATTATATCGTAGCATAAATCGTAATATTTCCGATATCGAATGCAAAATTTTGACCCTAACCACATTAACTCGTCACAGCAAATCTCGATCGAAACACTGTGCGGGAGGAAAATGTCTTTCCTAACTTTCAAAAAGAGGCAATTCACTTTAAAAGTGTTGATGCTGCAATAAACCATATTTACTAAACATTCTCTAGACATACCGATAATTTATTAATGTATGCAAAGAAAAGTTTTCCTCGACATTTGAATATTTATAAAATATCCTTATTTTCATCTCATCGTCATAAAATGTTGATAGTTTTGTAAGGAAAAATATATATTTATACATATTAAAGGAATTTTTGCAGACAACATTTCATGTTTAATACCAATGAGGTAGCTGAATAATGACTATAAGTAATTCCGGACTATTTTATGTCAAAATCCTGATTTTTACGGCTAGGAAGCAGTCTATCTCGCATCTTGAACAAATATTTTGCGGGTCGCTGAGATGTGGGTTTTCACCCACATATTCGCCGAGATATATTAAACAATATTTGAATCTGAAGAAAAAACATTCCCCTAAATTTCATTTGTATTCAAATGTATTCAAAAAGATTTTTCTTGGTAATTTTTGATGGTTTAGATTTATATGTCTAAAGAAAATTTACAAATACTAACTATAACTCTGCAATAAGCTTTAATTTTTCAATAATAATTAAAACATTGATTTCATATATAAAATAGATTTTTCTTAAAAAAAAAGATCCTAAATCTTTATTTGAGTTGAGTTGATTGAATGCGGTCCATATACAGTGTAATTAATTAATTAATTTTTTTAAATTTTTTTAATTTTACTGAAAGTAAAAATGTCGGAAGTAGCATCAAATTTTAGAATAAGTTTGGATTTGTTCGAATTGGTCACCTTTGGTACGAATTATGGCCTTCAAACGACCAAAGAAACCGTCACACGCTGTCTGGATATTGCTCTGCAGTATTTTGGCCCATTTCCGGCGAAGCGCTTACTTGAGGTGATCGACACTTTGGTATTTTTTAGTGCCAACCTTGCTTTCCAAAATAGTTCTGACACAATAGTCCAATGGATTGGTATCCGGAGATTTTGGTGGTCATTGTGTGCCGAAAATGAAGCAAGGAACCTTATTTTGAAAGTGCTGAGTGCAATGGTGCTGAGTCCTGTTGGAATGTCAAAGGTCTGCGGCCAAAATGTTTGCGTCGCCAAGGCTTTATACACCCTCCAGAATATTTTCGCGTTAATATTCGGTATTTGTTCTTTATTGTTCATTAATACATCATATAATTACATTATTTTACGAAGCCTGTGAAAGGCTTGTCTGTAAAATATAAAATTCATAATTTATGTATGTACAAAATTGCTTTTACACACTGCTATAGACTTCATTACACACTGCTATAGACTTCATTTTTATCCTCTATTATTACATTGACATAATGAAATTACTTTTTCAGAAAATACTTCTTCATGTTTTTTATTCTACATAACTTATTTCTAATTTCTGGAATCTCCGTTGGAAGTTCATTAAGGATGCTTGGGAGAGCGACATTTAGCGCGAGCTTTCCATATTCGTTTTTATATTTCGGTATTTTGTAGCGTCCTTCTAGTCTTCTCCGGGTATTTTGTCCGTGGTTTATTTTTTCGGCTAGGTTTCGGTCGCCAGAGAATTCACCTACAACTGCAATTGAAAATATTTGTTTTATATTTAAGATTTGCAGGTTGTTGTATATATGGCTTATGTTGTTCGTTGACGCTGGTTCATATGCGTTATTGTACAAGTAAAATGATTTTTTGTGAATGTATTTAACAATTCGATTTTGTGTTTCTTGTAAAATTCGGCAACATCTGGCATTTCCCCACGCTGTGATCCCATGTCTCAAATGCGATTCAACTAGGGAATAGTACGCTTGTTTTAATACATAAAAAGGTGCACAGTTGCCTAGATGATAAAGCGCAAACGCTGATTTTCTTAGTTTTTTCTGAAGGTTTTCGATGTGGATTTTCCATTTAAAGTTTTGATCTAAATGAATTCCCAAATACTTGTAATTTTCTACGATTTCTAATTTCGTTGTACATTTTTCTTGATTGTTTTGTGAAAGATTTTCATGAATGCATTCATTATCATGAAATATTATTTGAATGTTGTGTTTGGGGGCGCTTTTTGGTCTCATATGCATAACCTTTGTTTTGTTAGGATTGATAATAAGGCCGTAATCATGACACCATTTGGTGATAATATTAAATTCCTGCTGCATTGTTGCGGTTGCTTCTTTTATATCCTTATGTGATACTATTATTGCGGTATCATCAGCGTATGTGTACGAAAAACTGTTGTGTAGGTTGAGCGTCATTTCGTTTGAATATATTAAATAT